TAAAGTACACTGCTGGTGGTTATACGGGTTTTTGTATTTTCAGGAAACCGTCGTAATTAACGTGATAAGAAGATTGTAAAATATGCAGACATTTCACGAGAAATAATTTCTACGTACTCGTTTACATGAAAATGAAAACCAAGTAGATTATAATTCCACAAAACTGTTGAAGTATATAATATTATATTTTAATCTCTTACTAAATTTGCACTTACCAAAATATTCGATAATTATATCTGAATATTTCGGCCAAAATTAAAACTTGTAGTTGTTGAAATATCTAATTTTATCGCTCGTCGCATCTCTAAATGTACAAGGCAAATATTTTGAAATTTTATAATTTGCAATCAACAAAACACCAAAAGGTAACAACTAACGAGGAAATTGCATAGCATGTTCTGCATTATCGTAGATATAAAAATGTTGATTCAAAATTCGTGACTTTGTTATAATAAATTTAATAAGGTAACGACACATGAACACAAAAGTGCATTTTCGCCATGGCACGATATTAATTCGAGTTTCTTACATAATTTTATTTGCACTTATGCATCACCTTGAACGTTACTTTAATTAAATAGCAATTTTTTATTACGGTATATTTTCAAGATGTCGCAAAATAATATCTGGCGTAACATTAAAAACGCATTTAGAGATTTTAAAAATTAACTTTTTTATAAACTAGCAATTTTATTAAAGCCACCGTATTTGTAACCTGTTTTTAAAACCGAACGGCCTTTATTTAACTGCATGTAAGTATTCGTACGCATTCGTTTTCGTCAAAAAAAAAATGAAACGTCGCAAATGATGAAGAGGAATTGCTGCTACCAGTTGCACGTCGGGATAAAAATATTCATGCCTTTTACCCGTAAAATATTAATATGTCAACGGCGCGGCCCTCAATCGAACACTCCCTGATTTACCAATGAAGTTGCATGAATATTATACAAGCCGCACTTACATGAATACGGTGCTCATTTTTTAACATTGTATACATTTTATGTAGAAATGTTTTGGCGCAAAAATAAACGTGTTTCCCGTTTTGCTTCTCCTACAAAATTTTAATCGCAATTCTCTAAAACTTGATAAGATTATAAGAAAATGTTTAACAGTAAACTTGACTCTTGCAAACACTAAATTATAGGTTTGTTTGCATTTTACGAACCTAAACAGTGCTGCGAGTCAATATACCGGAAATTTCGAAAGTGGAATGTAAATACTTTTCTCCTTTCCAATTTTCTGATAACATAAATAAAACAAAAATTGTACCATGCATATCTACACATGTAACAATTTCTTTCTGCACTAAACTCACTCATTAAAATTTGAATTAAACCCTTCGTTTCCATGAAAACATTACGCATATAGGTACATAGCAACAATATATCCTGTAAGTAATCATTACAAATAAAGCATATTATCATAACAGCAATTATAATTTTATTCGAACGCATCACGCACATGCATTTCGAATTTCAATTGCATCTGTTTATTTTAATATCGTACAGGTGATGTGAGAATAGATACACAAATGGATATAGGTAGACACACGTAGAAGCTGGCAATCGAATTTATACCTATGGCAACGAGTCGAATTCGCTCTGCAGCGGATGCCAATGTGCAAGTTTGCGTTGAAATAAATTACCGGCAAGCAAATTGGGCATTCGAGCCTCGGGGAAATTTGTTATCGATCATCGGATTAATTTGTCGCGAGATGCGAAAGCGTCTTCGTTTCCTGAATTCACCAATATTTAAACGGTCATTTATACCGACGAATACAGACCCGTTATATACTCGTATTCTTTCTCAATTGAGTATTCGATATATTATATTTAGGTTCTTGTATGTCAATTAAATATGATGGAAAACGTCAATTAAATATGATAGAAAAGCAAACTTAATAAAGTGTATAAATTACTGCATGAACCACTTCTTAATAGACGATATTTTCACATAACTTTTGATGTTTTTATTAATTTTATGCCATTTTCAACAGACTTTAAAAACACTATAGATATATAGATAGGCGCAAATTTGTATGGAATATGCTTCATGAGTGCAACAAATACAATTTCCATTAGTCTCATGTAAAAGAAAAAGAAAGAGTGATATTGTGGAATTGCAACTTTCCCACTCTAACCACTGTTACCACTTTAAATGTACTAATTATATTGAATAAAATAAGTCTACCTAATCAATGAGTCATTTGGGAAAATTTGTTATAAGATCGATTTTTATACACATTATTTTAAACAAAAATAAACTTGTTATCATGAGGATATAATTTAAAACGACGTGCAGCTCAATTAACAATGATACAACAGATTAAAATAAAGGAAATTGTAAAATTATATCTAAATTGGAACTGGCTTTTTTAATTAATGCAATAAGGTAGTTCCTATTATTATAGGTCATGGTAATATAAATTTATACATGCAAAATGTACATTTCTACGCAAAAAGCATTAACGTTTCACTATCTACCATGATTTCAGTGCATTATCTTAGCAAAATAAACGAAAATACCCAGTCCTATGCAGTAAAAAAATGCCATAAACATAACGACAAACACCAACGATAATAAAGCCGTTAATTTATTTCAAGAACTCCTGAATGTGAAAGAATGAAAAGTGAATAAACTTTACTTTTACCTGGTCAATCCTACCTCTTCAACGTAGTGGCTATGAAATGACTCATAATATATAAAAAGGAGCCTTGTTAAAACGGTTTCTGTTAATTGAACACTTGATCTCTGAGTCAAACAGAAAGAAGAGACAACTAATGTTAATACTTATTTAAAAATAATGATTCAATTGGAGAAAATTGAGTAGAACCTAACCTATCATATGTTTGTTTTGAATTGCATAAACATGAATGAATAAGTATTCCAAAGCAATGCTATCCAGATATTTTTAGATTATGTAAATAAACAGTAGAATTAGGACATCCCGTAAATGTTGGGTTTGGAAATTATGCACGGATGTAGAATCTGCTACCTGCATGTAAATATATCAATTTGCACCTGTGCAGCGAAAAATTCAGTCACAACAAAAATTGTCTTGAACTCTTATTCTTCAAATAAAATTGATTTAATACTGAAAAGCCCTTGTAACGATAATTTATGTTGATTTAGGTGATATTTTTTAAACAATTCTTACCTTCTGACAGTTCTAGGTCCAGTTCAGCCAGTTTTTCTCTTACATCCTCGGGCAATTTAGCAACATCGATGTTCGACTCATCCATAGCTGGAAATCGTCAATAAGCACAATACAAAAACTACACAATATCACTACGAAATTACGCGCTACTCGTTAAAAAATAAGCCCATAGTAAGAAATTTTCAGTTTATCGGTAAAAATTTGTCTCTTCCTACAACAATGACAGCTGAGATTCCTATAATGTTTTGTTCGCATCTGCCACTCGAATCGAACTTATCCTACACTAACTGTTAACTGTCAATTGCTTTGACGTATAGGCAACACTCATTACAGAGCTATTCTGTGTTAAGCTGATTGTTAGGCAACCCATTTTACGTTGAGTTTAAACGATCTTACAGGGTGATGCAAAACAGGTGACGTTCTATACAGGGTGTTGCACATTTGGAAGAAAAAGAATAATTTTTTTTGTAAATATTTCAATATTTTTTACTCGATTTTATAATGCACAATAATTCGCTCGTAAAAAGTGTTTTATCTAATAAAACTAAATTATTTTTTTAAATTTACCCAAAATATAAGTTTTTGTTAGTTTTAATTATGTAAGAACCCTGTATGACTTTCTTATGATTGATCTTGCGGGAAATTGGTCGAGATATTTTATAAAATGTGGGGTTCAATTTTAACTGGTCATTCTAATTCTAATCCTTGTATATTATTGTTTGTTCAAAATGTTGAATTTCTGATAAATTTCAGATAATTAATGTTATAGAGGAAACATCAACGGATGTGATAATATTTATCTATTCGAACGCCCTCATTGATGCTTAAAGAACATCGTACTTTTAAATGATAATTTGGATTTTACATGCAACATTTATATTACTGGCATATTATTCATAAAAGATGAAAAAATTTACATATAAATTAAGTAAAGTAATTGATTTTTGTTATTATTTACGATAACCCTTCAATAATGTTTCTTAATAACTTCTCGATACTCGATAATCGATTCTCGATTTATTATTTTTGAATTTTAAAAATAACACAAAATAAATTAGTTCATTCTGATAAAAAGTAAACTCATGTATTGTCGTAATAGAATCAAATAAGTTCTACTATCAATATCCCAGAAGGAATGAAATTTCTCAACGAAACCGAAGATCGAAAGGTCATCAAACAAAACTCGATAAGAATTAGAATTGTCCAAAAGCCTCACTTTGATCTTTACGATTTTCGTTTTTCTTTTACACATAATAATCGTAAATTTAACGATATCTCCATTTAATGTTACAAATGTTGAAAGTTCAACGATCTCGTTTTATTTGTAAATGTAAGTAATGCGACTCCTTCTTTCCGTTTAAAATTCCAATTTCTCGTCCATCGGTTATTTTCTGCACTCACAAGCACTGGAATTATTCTAAAAAAATACAGCAGTATTATATTAAATGCAACTTTTATCAATTGGACCAATATATTTCGTTTGAGGAAGATTTTTTTGGTGAACATCGAATTAATTTTGTAGCGAAAATCCTGCTTTAATTATAAGTCCTCAAAATTTACTTTTATTTAGATATATTGACTATTTTATCAATGAATACACAATGTAGAGGAACTTAAGATGTCGATTCAAGCGGGGCTAAATTTTCAGTTTGGATCCGTCCCTGCAACCCAAGCCACCATACAAAGAGTAATGTTTGCATTTATGAATGTTTTATCTCGTTCTCTACAGGCATCTGGATCTTTCAGAGAGCCCAGCATCTGTGCGTATTGCTCGACTTACCATCAACAACACACCGAGTGTTCCCTTCCCCGTTGGCTGTTAGTAGTATCTAGTCTCTCACCCGAAGTCGTGACTCGCGATAGAGGACTGAGCGGTTACGCGCGGTACCGCGCTCATGAAAAGGATCATTTGAGTACCTAATTCCGTACGAACTTTTTTTTGTGTAGTTTTGGGATGAGTGCGTGCGTGCCAGTGCGTTGAGCGGTTCGTGATATCTTTTGAAATGTGGATTTTAAGGACTATTTGGTTTTTAGTGTTGATTTGTTGGGGATTGGGGCAGCAGACGCCCGCTATAGGACATCGAGGAACCCCTTGTTATGATGCATTTAATAGACCACAGGTACTTTTTATTTTATATTTTTTTATTTCCTATTTATAGTAAATTTTATGATTTATGAATGAAAATATTTATTGAATGAATGAAGTGTACTGGCTAGTCAATTTTAGAGAAGTTTGAGAAGAAAAAAATTAACGAAGCCTCTGTTATTTATTACCTTTTGTTTCATAAACATTTAGTTGTATTTTTTTGTACTAAATACAGAGGCAACTTTGTTGAAGGAAGAGTATTTCTTTCTAAAAATAAGCGTTCCATTCTAGTAATCTTGATGTATGTACGTTCCTATATTGAAGCGAATCTCAAAATGCCTAAATTTAGAAACTGTTTACTCTTTCCTTGTTCAAAACAACACTCGAAAGTGAATTACGATTTTAGGTGGATGAACTCGACAATTCGGGGTTAAAATTTTCTCAAATTTATTCCCTATCTACTTTTACTATTTAACACTCTTCGTTAAAATGATACACGAGGTCATTCTTTATATCAGACAGAAAATGCAAGTGTTGCACAGATGTTTTCATAATATTTCAGTTGAAACTAAATAGTAGCAATATTCAGCTAAAACGGATTTTTCGTTTATACACACATTTTTGTATGCACTTTGTACCATTACACCAATATATTATTCCCAATTGAATTGAAAAATGTCCAACTTGATGCCCGTACAGACAGGTAGTACCTACTTGGTACGCGTGCATATGTTTCTCTGGTATAACCTTATACATTCATCACGAAGACGAACTTTTCCTCGAATTCACTGCCACGGCCGCACTGAATTAACGATCTCGCATTCAAAGTCGTGCAGCTTCTGCAGATGTCTCTATCGAGACGCGAATAAATTAAATCGTCCACCGCACGGGATCTAATCGGAGTTTTCTCTTTGCAGCGGTGCATCCCGGAATTCGAAAATGCAGCTTTCGGCGTCCTGATGGATGCCACCAACACGTGCGGTCAGAACGGCGACAATGAATATTGCGTACAAACGGGCGTTAATGGAATCAGAAAATCGTGCGAAATTTGCCATCCAGGCGAGCATGAAGCTAGATACCTCACCGATATCATGCACCCCGATAAACCTACTTGGTGGCAATCGGAGACGATGTACGAGGGTATACAATGGCCCAATCAAGTCAATCTTACTCTTAACTTCGGTGAGTCGATTTATAAACCGTAAATGGTTTGTTTTTTTAATCTAATTGAATCCAAACTCATTAAATATTCATTTATACCGTAATAAATTTCATAATACATCGAACAAGATCTATATTACCATGAGAGTGTATCGACAATTGATGGATTGTCTCGGTAAACATTTATTAATATTCAATTAGTAGATGTAGCTCTAAAGGATTCTTTAAATTAAACGAACTAATGTTTTTTTAAACTGGTTTTTTTTTAGATAAAGCGTTCGATATCACTTACGTCCGAATTCTATTTTCATCGCCCCGACCGGAGAGCTTTTACATATCTAAAAAGTTGACCAAAGACGGCCCGTGGGTACCATTTCAGTATTACAGGTACGTACTTAACATACCCCTTTTTCGGTTCCATCCGACGATTTCGCGGTCGATTCGAGCCGGATTCAGACAGACGGATTCGCTTTTTCAGTGCCACTTGTCGCGATACCTACGGATTACCTGACATGACGTATACGACGCGAGGAGAGGAGACGAGGGCGCTTTGCACCTCCGAATACTCCGACATATCTCCTCTGCAAGGCGGCAACGTGGCTTTCGGTACCTTGGAAGGACGACCGTCCGCTTATAATTTCGATGCCAGCCCCGAACTGCAGGTAGGTACCCAATTTTTCAACAGCACCACGCAATACGTGGACCGGAATTAGCGATTTCAACAGGTTGTTTTTGTTATTTCCCGAAAAATTTGTTAGGTACCTAATTGAAGAACTTTTAGTCAAGAACCAACTGTTGTAACTTCTTTATTTCGCTCTATTCATTTGGATTTGGTAACAACATTAAACTACTAATTGTTACTATAAATCATGTATTTATCACTCAAAACTACATGGATTTTTAAATAAAACTAGCCTGCACTAAATTAGAAAAATCCCCCAATTCAAATAGCCACACCGTAGACACTGACTATGCAGTACAAGTTCTTGTTCTCCCATCTGACAGTGCAAACTCCATCGGTGGAATTGTCCCAATAGCAAGTACTGGCCGTGTGCAGCCCGGCGCCGCTCCTCTGCAGTATCGAACAGGTGACGATGTATTTGAACAACTTGTTCAATTTACTCAGCAACGAGAGTATCTGCTCGGATATGTTGGAGGTCCACATTTGGATGCGCTCTTGTTTGTACTCGCCATCGCCCAGATTGGTTTCTATTGTGTTCTTGATGATCCTGTTGACGTCGTCCGGGACGAAGAGGGTCTCGTCCTCTTCGTCGTACATTATGGTTTTATACGACTGACTGGCGTTGTCAAATCTGTTTGACAGGTGATTTAGGTTACGGTACATGGTACTCGGATTTTTTCTTTACTCCTGTATTCAATGAAATGAATTTATTATCGTATTAACTTCGCGGATAAGCACAAAATTTGAACCCTTTTTAAACTGCCACCTGATAGCAACTGGATTGTACAGCACGCGATTCATTTTGCCGTAGCTGATGGAGTTGAAAGCGATGAATAGAAGGGTGGAGTTTAGGAGTTTCGCGCTAGTTTTGAGATATGCTAAATTGATTTGGAGTTTCGCAGCGTTGAATGTGACGCGGCGTTTTGTTGGCTTTGTGGAAAATTTCATTAAACGGCTCTGTACTGATATTTAACACGCACACGTGTTCGCTCGGAAAACGGGAAACTAATTTAGATTTCGTTTTATTGCGATGAGAAATCCGTCGTGGCGATAAATGTACGAGTTTTGGTAGTTATTGAATTAGTAAACTATAAATAGCTTTTGTCTAAGTTGATTTATTGTCGATATGTAGGTGTTCGCAATATCGAAATGATATAGAATTGTATACAACACTACTAATTATAATCTTATGAAGTTTATAATAAGAAGGATTAAATAGTAGGAATGTAGTAAATGTTATTACAAAAATAAAATCGATAAACTGGTGAATTATGAATATGGTGCCAGGCGAAACGAATTTCTTTCTTTTCGGCACCCCTTTCAATGTGGATCGTAAAAAATTCCCGTGAAGAGTACACAACAAAAATATCCCTTAATTTTATTAAAATACCTGTTAAATCTTGTCTTGAAACATTAATACTTGATTAAATAGAACTAATTTTGTTCTATTCAGTAGTTATTTCATATTGTTTCCACAAACTACTTTACTTTTAAACGCATTTATGTCTTTCGTTTTGCTACGTCGAATACATTTTTTACAGTGTCTTCTACAGCGACGTAATTTTTCGAATTTTTCCATGCAGAATTGCATGCTAAAACTCAGCCACGAATCGTTTATTTGATATGTGGTTATGTCACTATTCAACGAACAATTCCATTTGTTTCCAAACAGATCAAGATTTATCGGTATACCTCGAAATTTATTACCGCAATTCCTCCTATTAATTTGTTTTCGTTCCTCATGCAACGGCCCTAAACAATAGAATATACGTTTCCCGCAGGAATGGGTAACCGCAACCGAAATAATGATAACCCTCGACCGCCTCAACACGTTCGGCGACGAAGTCTTCGGCGACGCCCAGGTCCTGAAGTCCTATTTCTACGCCATAATGGACATCGCTGTAGGTGCCCGATGCAAATGCAACGGGCATGCGTCCGAGTGCATAACGTCGACCGGAGTGGACGGATCCAGGCGGAGAGTCTGCAAATGCGAACACAACACGGCAGGGCCGGATTGCAACGAATGCCTGCCCTTCTTCAACGACGCTCCCTGGGGAAGGGCCAGCGCCAGGAATTTCTACGAGTGCAAACGTGAGTACGAAATAATAAGACTAATGGCAATAAGTCGAGTATTTCCAACACCCCGGAACGTAAATTTGTCCAGACGAAAGGTAATTTGAATTGAAAAGATCCGATAAGGCGCGGTGCATTGTCTCGAATGTGCATTACCGCCGTTAAAAAAACCACTCACTCCAAGAAGTTGATATTCTACCATTCGAGTTTTGTATAAAGTCCCACGCCGGTCTTGTGTTTTAATCATTTCGTGATGGTCCGTCTTATAATAGAGGCGCTATCTTCCTCTATTAATCTCGTCTCAAACGGTTAAATCCATCGCGATTCAATCGACTACAATTACATTAAGAAATTCGGTTCAATTAGTGTTAATTAGTGAAAATGCAGTGCGCTTTTTGCGTAGGATTTTTCTTTCTATTGCGATTTGGTGAAATTTTCGCCGGTTATTGGGATGGAGTAATGCCTTGGTACATCGGATCAAGTGAGTACCTAATGAGTCTTAAAAACTAATCCAATAATCATCAAAATCTACCACTTTCTTTCTAAGTACATTCGAATGTATATTAAGCGTTAATAAAACGATTTGTGATGTACACTGAGAATTTCAACGGGCTGAAATTCCCATACGGATCCGACGGAAAGTAATTAATGCGCGCCGTGAAATCTATAAAAGTCTTTAGGCTTACGATCTTCGAGACAGATAGGGCTCGCCGTGAACCGTGCCGTAAAGCTTTGAAAACATTACTCGCGTGGGCAGTAAACGTCCGAGTTCCACACGATGCGAACGTATTGTTGAACATCGAAATAAATAGGTAATCAATTTATGCATCACGAAATAGGTAATTCGACGCCATGAAATACATTTTTTCGCTGATTATCCATAATTCATACACTTTGCTGAACACACTATGAAACTTAGCCAATTTCTCTTCGGTTGTTCCGTTTTAATCGTCTTCAATTATATCAATTTTTATTACAAATCATTCGTAAAAGGTACTCGTAAACTATTAAGGTAGTGTTGATGAATCCATTAAATTTATTTCAGAATGCAACTGCAACGGGTACTCTAACCGTTGTTTCTTCGACCAGAAGCTGTACGACCAAACGGGCCATGGTGGTCATTGCTTAGACTGCGCAGCTAACAGGGATGGTCCCAATTGCGAAAGATGCCGGGAAAATTTCTACATGAGGGAAGATGGGTATTGTATACCATGCCAGTGCAACCCGACCGGTTCGAGAAGCCTCCAGTGCAACCTTGAGGGTAAATGTCAATGCAAACCCGGAGTCACCGGAGAGAAATGCGACAGGTAATTTCTTCCTTTAATCATATAACAACTATTTAAACATGCATGTTTACGCGTAGATGTGATGAAAACTACTTCGATTTTTCAACGTTCGGATGCAAATCCTGCGGGTGCCACCTTCCTGGATCCTACAACAACGAGAGGCGCTGCGATCCCTACACAGGCGTGTGCCAGTGCAAGGAAAACGTAGAGGGCAAGCAATGTAACGAATGCAAACCCGGTTTCTTCAATTTAGACGAGGAGAACTTCTTCGGTTGTACTCCCTGCTTCTGCTACGGACATTCCGCGCAGTGCAGCTCCGCCACCAAGTTCTCTAGATACCTGTTAGAGTCCTCGTTCTTCAAGGGATTGGAGAAATGGAAGGCGGAGGACGAGTACCAAAGACCGATAGAGGTTAAATACGAGCCTATCAGCCAGAGCATAGGGGTGCAAGCGCTCGGCGACGATGCAGTTTATTTTGTAGCGCCAAACAGATTCCTAGGCGACCAAAGAGCTTCGTATAACCAGTTATTGGAGTTCACGTTGAGGATCGGCGATAATAGACCCATACCCACAGCTACTGATATAATATTAGAGGGATCCGGAGCTTCGGTAACGAATACGATATTTGCGCAGAAAAATAAAATCCCCAGTATGCAGGTAAGTTTATAACGCTTAAATTTGGTTCAATTATTGATGGATTTGTTGCAGCCGCAAGTCTACAAATTCAGGTTGCACGAACATTCGGATTACGGATGGCAACCGAGGCTCAACGAGAAACAATTCATTTCTATATTAACTAATTTAACTGCCATCAAAATAAAAGGAACCTACGCACCAGACGGTATGGGTTTCCTCGACGAATTGAAATTAGAATCAGCTTCTCGAGGAGTTGCCGGTAAACCGGCCCTTTGGGTCGAATCTTGCGCTTGCCCTACAGGTAAACAGTAGCTAATTTTAGTATTCACTACTATTAATTCGTTTTCCGTCAGGCTACGTTGGGCAATACTGCGAGTCGTGCGCTCCGGGTTTCAGGCATTCCCCTGCCCTGGGAGGGCCATTTATGCCCTGCGTGCCGTGCGATTGCAACAACCACGCCGAAATCTGCGATTCGGAAACCGGAAGGTGCATTTGCAGCGATAACACTTCGGGAGAGAACTGCGATCTCTGCGCTAGAGGGTACTACGGGAACGCGTTAGGAGGTTACTAATGCTTTTTGAAACAAATACAATCGCTTTAACACACTCGTTTACAGGAACGAAGGAGGACTGTAAGCCTTGCGGTTGTCCAGAAGGGGGCGCTTGTATACAACTCGACGACGATATGACGATGTGCACGGAATGCCCAGCCGGTTACACAGGTCACAAATGCGACGTGTGCTCCGACGGATACTACGGAGATCCCTCTACACCAAACGGCGTGTGCAAGGAGTGCGAATGTAACAAAAACATCGACCCCAACGCCATCGGCAATTGCAACACCACCACCGGAGCCTGCCTCAAGTGCATCTTCAGCACCGCCGGTGATCAGTGCGAGAGGTGTCTACCAGGTAAACTTTCCTAACCACATCTCGACAGCAATCGATGCAATAATTGCTGGGTTCCAGGTTTCTACGGGAACGCGGTGGTTCTTCCGAAAGGCGATTGCAAAGCCTGCACGTGCTATTCAGTGGGCACTGTGGCTGGGGAAACCGGAGCGCCGGATTGCGATCAATCCACCGGTAACTGCAATTGCAAGCCGCATGTTGTGGGCTTGAATTGCGGCTCCTGCGAAGACGGTTACTACAACATAATGAGCGGGGAAGGTTGTCACGCTTGCAATTGCGACGGCATCGGTTCGATCAACAAAACCTGCGATCTTCTAACGGGCCAATGTTATTGTCGACCGGGAGTCACCGGGTAAGGTCTATTGTTTTAAACGGTATTTCGTTTAACATTGTTGGTTCCTAGGTTGAGATGCGATCGTTGCGAGGCGAGAAAATACGGCTTCTCGGAGGAGGGATGCAAGGATTGCGAATGCGACGGTATCGGCTCCAAAGATCTTCAGTGCGATCCGTCCGGGCAATGTCCTTGTTTGGATAATGTCGAGGGAAGGCGTTGCGATAGATGCAAAGAAAACAAATACGACAGGAAGAGAGGCTGCATCGATTGCCCGGATTGCTACAACTTGGTTCAAGACGCTTACAGAACGCACAACAGCAAATTGGATAGACTAGTGGAAATTCTCGATGAGATCGAGAGAAGACCCACCGTCATAACCGACGATGAATTTCCAAAAGAGCTCGATAAACTCAAGAAAAACATCAGCAATTTTTACGATAAAGTGAAAAACGCTACCGGCGATCACAGCGTTATACAACAAGTTTTAGATATAAGGGAAAGGGAGAAAGAAATAACGCGCACTTTATCCCAAATCGACGAAAACATATTTTTAATTAAAGACAAAAGCCACATCACTGAGATGAACATCGATCACATCGAAACCAATCTAGACGAAGCTGAGCTGCGTTTGGCAGATACGAAATCAACCTTCGAAATGCAAGCTAAAGAAGCCCTCGAGAAGGCCATTGAAAGCTCCACGAAAGCAGGCCAGCAATCCGAGAAGATGACCCAAATAGCGCAGGAAGCCCGAGAGCTAGCGGACCGCTTAGAAAACAAAGCTGAAGAAATAGTCGACAAAGCTTTCGACGCCAAGAACAAATCCATAGAAGCTTACATCATAGCCAAAACCGCCAATTCGAACCAAACGGATATAAGCAACAGAGTCAGACAACTCAGACACGAAATCGTAGATGTTGAAATCAAATTGAACCGCTCTAAAGAATGGACCAGCGAAGTAGCCAATAAATCCTCCGCCGCCAAAAACGACGCTCTAACGTTACTCAACGAAGTCAAAAACTTGGTCGTGCCGCAAGTAGATATACCGGAATTGAAATCCCGCTCCGACAAGCTCCGCAGCGAAGCCTACAGGCTCGGCAACGAAACAGAAATCCTATTCAAAGACAGCCTCAATTTGAGAAAGCGCGTCGACGATAAAAACGTCGATGGCAGAGCCTTGCTAGAAACCGCCTACGAGCAACAAAACGAAATCGACGAACTCCTCAACGACATCCATGCCACTAAAGAAAAAACTGACAATTCAATCGACAGGTGGAAGAAGATTTTGAACGACACCGAAAGTATTTACAACGATTTGAAAGGTAATTTACCCCCATGCTTCTTCTGTTATTCTCATCCTTGTGGGTACAATAATAATCATTTTACAGATTTCGATACTGAAACGCAGGAGAGCAAGAAAGAAGCCGATAAAGCTCTCGGAACCATCAAAGACATCGAAGTCATAATCAAAGAAACGCTGGCCAAAACTGCCGAGGCCCAAGACGCTTTGAGAGACGCTACGGATAACGCGAACTCTGCTTTGGAGAAAGCTCTACAAGCTGATACGTTGGCCAAAAACGCAACTGCCACAGCGGGAAAAATCAAAACCGAAGCCGGCAATCTCATGAGGAACACCACTTTACTGGGCGAAGACGCCGAACTGATGATGGAAAGGATCGTAGAGGTCGATCAAAAGCTCGACTCGTTCATCGTCGATACGAAAACGAACGGTACTTTTATCAAAACAGCGACAGATAAGGTAAGCAACTTCTATACAAAGCTAGCAGCAGTTTTGTTTCAATTCAATTATTTCTATTTAGATTGGAAGCGCGGGAAAGGAAACCGACGAAACCTCGAAGAAAGTAAAAGATTTATTGGTAGACGTGCAAGAGATCATAGCCGAGCTGGAGAACACGCCTGACATAGACGACAGCGAACTGGGAAGGCTCGAAGATGCCATCAAGCAGACCGAGCAGCAGTTCCAGGAGTCCCAGCTGGATGAGAAACTGGCTAATCTTCAAAAGGATCACGCCAATCAAGCGAATCTCATCGACCAGTACAAGATCGATATCAAGAAACTGCAAGCAGATGTGGACAACATAGAGGCCATAGTGAACGCTCTGCCTAACCAGTGCTTCAGAAGATTGGAGCTTGAACCCTAAAATTAATTTGCAAACGTAATCCTTTCATACCAAAGAGCGACTTCTTTTTATCTTCTATATTTATTTTGTATTTAAGGGTGTACATAAGGACTACATGTTAAGAGGATTGTTCTATTTTTAAAACTGTACCTAAAGATTTAATTTTTTAATCCGGTTCGATTAATACATTTTATTATTAAAAAAGATCGTGGTTTTTTAATTCATTTTGTCTTCCTTTTCTGCTTTCATTTGTGTTATAAAAAAATTAAGGTGTGTACATTTGTACAAACGTAAACTTTATCAATGAAAATAATAGATAAGATTAGACGTAACCTGCAAGATTCAATCTCGAAATTTGCCTCAAAATAGGTTACAATGTTACGAATTTATACAATATTTTATTTATTTTCCCTAATAATTGGTAAGTCCATTCATATTTATCATAAGTTTAGTCATACTTTAAATAACATACGTTTTACAGCTCAATCCATAAACGAATTTTGCTACAAAAATGTAACAAAAGAGTTAGACGAGCTTTTGAGGCAGTATAAAGATATACCCAATTTTACTCTGCCTAAAGAGTTCTCGGAAATTAGGAAGCTTTTAAATAAAAGTGAACTTATTAACTCGAAAATTAAACGACATAACGAGGATCTTATAACAAAACTAAACAATACTGATGCAAGATTGAATTCAACAAGAAATAAGCTAGAGTTAATTAGAGAAGGTGAAAATGTTATTAAAGATATAATAGACAATGCAGAAAAATTAAAAAATGTGGCAGATGCTACTGATGCTGAATGTTCGAAAGCCGAAGAAAATTTCAAGAAATTCAAGTAAGTGTACAGATAATTAAATAAAAGAGAGAATTAACTTGATTAATTTCAGAAAAGATTTCGATAAAGATCAAAAACGACTCAAAAGTTTTAATGAAACGTTTGGTAGGATAATAATTACCTATTCGAATCTCATTATATGAATTTTAAATTAAATTTCTAGGAAAATTAGAATTAAACATTAGCAATACAAATAAGGAAAGCAATGAATTGAAGCGATTAGTTGGAAAAATTGAAATACCTTCAAATTTAGGAGATCAGTACATGTGCGATACGAATATTTTCAATACTTTTAATAGTATCGTTGACACAGGGAGGAAAATCAAAAATTTGCTGGAAAAATTAAGAGGTAAGTGAACAGAACAAAATACAAAAACCCTATCAGCATCAATTATTTATTGTTGTAGATAACATTCTCTCGGATATAAAAGATTTAAAGAGAATTTTGGAAGCCTATGATTATGATCAATTGAACAAACCTCCTGTAACCCTTAAGAAACTGAATAAACATATTAAATATTTTCAACAGAAATACGAAGAGGTAGTGTTAACCAAATAGTTCGACAAAAATTATATTGCTTGTTTTAGATTTTTAAGCTGAAAGAAGTTATTGAAAAGAAAAACGAGGCTAAAAGAAACTTAGATGATATTAAAAGATTAGCTTTTTATTTATGCAAACAAGGAGTGTGTAATTTGTTTAGTGGAACTAAAGTTGAAACTTAATTATATTTTTGTAATATCTTCTATCATAAAAATAGTCATTGTATAAACGGTATAAAAAGCGAACAAATAAAATAACTAATTTAAGCTTCAAAAGAACAATTTATTATAATTCAAAATTTTATATTCATTGACAATACATCTGCATCCTACCCATATACAATAATGATTGAATATTATATGTATGTAAAAATCGTTTTCCTAATTCCAGGAAACCAATTTACTTTGCTTGCAACATTTTCTATCAATACAGCAATACTCTGCAATTGTCGCAACATCTTCCTTGCTTGCCACTTTTCTTGCAGCATTTTCCATCAATACAGCAATCATCTCCTCTGCAATTGTCGCAACATCTTCCTTGCTTGCCACTTTGCTTGCAGCATTTTCCATCAATACAGCAATCATCTCCTCTGCAATTGTCGCAACATCTTCCTTGCTTGCCACTTTGCTTGCAGCATTTTCCATCAATACAGCAATCATCTCCTCTGCAATTGTCGCAACATCTTCCTTGCTTGCCACTTTGCTTGCAGCATTTTCCATCAATACAGCAATCATCTCCTCTGCAATTGTCGCAACATCTTCCTTGCTTGCCACTTTGCTTGCAGCATTTTCCATCAATACAGCAATCATCTCCTCTGCAATTGTCGCAACATCTTCCTTGCTTGCCACTTTGCTTGCAGCATTTTCCATCAATACAGCAATCATCTCCTCTGCAATTGTCGCAACATCTTCCTTGCTTGCCACTTTGCTTGCAGCATTTTCCATCAATACAGCAATCATCTCCTCTGCAATTGTCGCAACATCTTCCTTGCTTGCCACTTTGCTTGCAGCATTTTCCATCAATACAGCAATCATCTCCTCTGCAATTGTCGCAACATCTTCCTTGCTTGCCACTTTGCTTGCAGCATTTTCCATCAATACAGCAATCATCTCCTCTGCAATTGTCGCAACATCTTCCTTGCTTGCCACTTTGCTTGCAGCATTTTCCATCAATACAGCAATCATCTCCTCTGCAATTGTCGCAACATCTTCCTTGCTTGCCACTTTTCTTGCAGCATTTTCCATCAATGCAACAATCATCTCCTCTGCAATTGTCGCAACATCTTCCTTGCTTGCCACTTTGCTTGCAGCATTTTCCATCAATACAGCAATCATCTCCTCTGCAATTGTCGCAACATCTTCCTTGCTTGCCACTTTGCTTGCAGCATTTTCCATCAATACAGCAATCATCTCCTCTGCAATTGTCGCAACATCTTCCTTGCTTGCCACTTTTCTTGCAGCATTTTCCATCAATGCAACAATCATCTCCTCTGCAATTGTCGCAACATCTTCCTTGCTTGCCACTTTGCTTGCAGCATTTTCCATCAATACAGCAATCATCTCCTTTGCAATTGTCGCAACATCTTCCTTGCTTGCCACTTTGCTTGCAGCATTTTCCATCAATACAGCAATCATCTCCTCTGCAATTGTCGCAACATCTTCCTTGCCTGCCACTTTGCTTACAGCATTTTCCATCAATGCAGCAATCATCTCCTTTGCAATTGTCGCAGCATCTTCCACCTCGTCTGGAAACAGCGCCTTTGCTGCAACAGGAATTTCCCTCCGGACAACGAGAAGCTCCCGAACAACATCCTTTTCCATCCTGGCAACTTCCTGAAGGACCGCAACAGTCGCAAGACTTCCCATCCTTGCAGCAATCGTCACCTAGGGGACAATCGTTTTTGCATGCATCGCAGCACTTTCCATTGTCGCTGCAGTTGCGACAGCTTTTTGACCAAGTCTTAAAGCAGCAAACGTCCTCAGCCGTGGCGCGCCTGCAGCTGGAAGAAGTCGGTTCCTTGCAGCAAGGACACATGCAGTTGCTTCCTTCTTTGCAGCATTCCTTCTTTTGCAGACACACCGCCGATTTTTCCTTAAGATTGGAAATTTCTTGTCTACAACAGGGACAGGTGGCGCTTGATGTTGGTTCCATGACAGGTTTGCAGCAGCTTGATTGGCTTTGCGGACCAGAAGCCGTTTTGCAACAAGATTGGTCTGGAAATTAATTGAAATGTTTGGTAAAAAATGCACCATATTTGTTAATAAAATAGTAAAATAGTAATTGTATACTTACTTGGCATATTTATCAAATTCTGTTATCAGTTAGATACTTTTAACTTCACTTGATGTTTACTATCTAAACGAGTAGATTGTTATGAATTGATAGTGGAGCGGTTATGGTTTTATACCATCAGAATGTAAGTGGAAATTGGTACCGTGTGCAAAAATATTGTTTATCTCATTGTACTGGGACAGTGGGCAAAATTCACTGAAACTTCAGCTTACTAGAAGATTCTAGAAAGGCGAGAAAATTGACGCTTTCTGGAATAGTAGTGGGTGAATAATTTTAATTTTCGTCTACAAAAACTTTCATTACATGTAGGTAGGTATTTATTTACACTATTATTAATTCAGTATATTATGTTTTAGTTAGTTTTATGAAGAATAAATTCGTTCTTTTTCAGAGGTTTTTAGTTTTTATATTTAAAAATATAATGTATAATTTTAGGTTTATAAATATTATGTGTGTAGGTAGGAAAAATGCAATATTTTTGCAAATTTCAAGGATGGCAGTTTTACCTGCTCGAGTTCATTAGTTTCATTGGCGCCGTGTCATTGTAGTGTAGGTTCGTGTGCAAAAGATATATGCTGAAAGTTCTAGTCTTCTGTTATGAACTGTTTTTATTTTACTTAACAGCCGAAACAATCATTTACCACCTTTTCTGTAAACGCAATTATTTATTATTATTTATATCAATTTATCTTAATGTTACTTGTATTTTTATTGTTTTAGTTTCTTAAATATATTCTTGTTATTTTGAAGTTTGAACAATCTTATAAGGCACAGTTATGTTATTTGTAAATATTTCAGGGAGATTGCAGATAGAAATTATGAATGATATGAAATCCTGATTTCAGGAGGAAATGATTAAATGAGCGGGTCGTGTGAATTTGCACACCGATGGGTTTTCAGGTGATAGGTGTCGTGTGCAAACTTTTACGCATTATTCGTAATGCTTTGCCTAGGTCATGGTGTAATATCTCGCGATAATTTCACTGTATGAGTGAAATTGGAAAATTAATAATACCGAACAAATTTAACATGAATTTATTTAATAAACACGATTTTATATAGCAATTTAAATTTAAAAGCATTTAAATTAATGAATTTAAAGCTGATCTACCGCTATTTGCTCCAAAAATTGTTGAACTTGAAACAAATAATGATGTATTTCCTCGATCTCTTCGATCTGTTTGTGTATTTTTCCTTCCTTACACTCCTTGAGGAACAGCCGTTTCTTGTTTTCCTTTTCCCTTTCCATCTCTAGTTTTGCAATGTTATTCTAAAATCGAAAATGTATCCTCACTTCTTCCCCAACCGCCCAAATTCACTCACCTCATCAATCAAGTTAAATTCTTTTTGACTACCATCGCCAAACAGCTCTTCAAGCTGTTGTATTCGTTTCAAAGCGGATCCTGTAACTTCTTTAATACAATTAACGCGCTTGTAAAAATCTAAAAAACATTTTTTTCAGTGAAATCAACCACGTATTCAGAATGTTTCTTCACCGTCCAAATTTTTAGCTTCGACTCCGATGAGAAAACCGTCGTGTTGGTAGGTGACATTTAAATTGATGTTTTCCACTTTCTCTTCCAAGTTTTTCATGATCATCTCCACTTGGTTGAGTGTTAAAATTAATCCGGTTACTGTGTTCCTGATGTTTTGGATTTCATCTATTACGGCCTTGTGGTTTTCGTCTATTATCCGTAATAGCGGAGGTTGGCATACGCCGTATATTATGCTGTGCGCTTTCGATAGATATTCGTCCAATCTCATTTTATTTTCCGTACTGAAATATGTACTTAAATGGAATAGGATGATGGGCGTACAGGCGATAATGTTTACCTTAAACCCCATTCTGCATCATCGCATAATTTTATGTCCGTCTCCACTGATACGTTTCGTAATACTGTGAGGTCTCTGCTTTCTGAAATGCAATCGCTGAAAGCAAGTCGAGTAATGAACAGTGAACGAGCAGTCATGATTAAGTTTACTTTAAGCTGTACTCGTCCTTGCTGGAATTAAGTTCCTGCACCGAACTGTATTCTTGTAATCTGAAATTTGAATAATAAATATTAGGTACGTGATATGGAAATTTTAATTAGGTACCTCAAATTTTCGTCTTCCGAGTCCCATCCTTTATTAGTATCCTCGCTTTCTTTAGAATCAGGACTGCATTTGTTATCCTCGTCCGTTAGTTCAGATGGAAAATAAACGGAACTGCAAAGAAAGACCATTTAGAAATTAATTTATTTGTTATTAAAAAATATTCATACTTTGAAGATATTTCATTAACAGTATTTCTCGTTTCCATTGCTGTTGGTTCGCAGCTAATGCATTGAGCTTGCGGAAAACTGAAAATATATAGGTATATAAAAGGAATTTGTTGTTCTTTATACGTTCCACTGGTTTTCTCGGAGAGTGCCGTTAAAGATGGGTTTAATGAGTCTGTGCATGTTACAAAAACGTCGCTTTCTTCTTCCGTTGAAGATTCTGTGGAAACTGATTCCGAATCAAGGTTATCTCTGGAAGTAAAATCGAAACAAATTTAAAATATTCATCTACATAAAATATATTTCTAATCACTCGTTACTATTCGATTCTAACGATTCCATCCATTTCGTACTGCTTGTGTAAGGTGTTTTGTCGTGCCATATTGGAAGTTGGGGTACAACGCTGCATTCGTAGCGTTTCATGCTTATTCCCCCATAACCACTTTCTCTAAAAATATCTCAACTATGAGAAATTTTACTTATTACTAAATGGTGAATTTTACCTGAGTATTTTATTAGGGCAGTAAACGCTGCATAGGTTTTTTTTATTTTTAGTTTTCGGCTTTATCCATAATCTGCTTTCAGCGAAGAAATTTTGCCACATAAAATATATTTAATAATAATTGTATCGTTATTTTTACTACAGATTTGATTGAATTGACACGTTGATGTCAAAACCCGCTTAATCTTATAACACTTTAATTCGCAATAAAAACTCAATTAACCAATAAAAAAGTTTTAATATAAAACACAATAATATTTCTACGGTTCTAATTCCAGTCTTCTGTAACAACCACTGGGAAGCCTATCGACGATTTGTTCGATGTTGTCCACTTCTCCCTGCATTATCGCTATTTGCTTCCTGTATTTGTCTATCAAATCTTCCTGGAGTTTCCTCTCGTCTATCAGTTCCTGCAACCGCTCGTCGAGCTTGGCCCGATGGATTTTTTCTTCGGTTATTTTGATTTGTTCTTCTAATCGATCCACATCAGATTCGTCTATGGTTGGCGAGTGTTCCAGCTCATACACTATATTTTCTATATCGTAAAGAAGCTTGTGGACCTTATTGGATACTTCTTCGGTGTCTCTTTCAGCTCTTCCGACCTAAAGGAGTTTAAAAATAATTTACTTAATAACATTAGATTAAGGTTACCTACCTTTTCTTTAGCTTCGTTCACCAAGCTTGTATTACTCTTCGTGTTTTCTACTAAACTTTTTAGTTCCCCGTCGGTGTTCTGCACTCTGTCGAACATCAAACCGGCTTCTTCCACCAACGCTGTGGAGTTTTTGTACAACAGCTCTGACTCGTGCTTAATATTATCGGCTTTAATCGAGGCGTTGTTGGCCAAAGCGTTGGCCTGTTGAGCTTTTCGCAGCGCAAGCTCGGCGTTCACTGAAGCTTGGTCCAAATGCTCGCGATATTCCAGCACTTTGTCGGCGCTTTCGTCGATTCGAGTTCGTATGTCGGTGACGGTTTGAAGAGCTGCGTCGGCTTCTTTCTTCCGCTTTTTCGTTTGCGAATCGAATTCTAAAAAAAATATGAATATAGAAGAAATGGATGGATTTGAACGGGCTTCTTACCTCTTAATAATTGGTAGTTACTTTCAGCGTTGTTCCAAATTTCATTCCAAAGCTTAACCACTCCGTTAGCTTGACTTTCGTATAGGGTTAAATCGTTTCTGTAATCCATTAGTTCGTCGTATTGGTTTGCCGCTTTTTGCGTTAATTCGTTTCCGTATTGGAGTTGTTTGAATACGTTTTCTTTGAGATGTTTGCTTTCTTCGAACAAATTGTTGGATTTTTCGCGGAGTAGAATGGCTTTTTGTTGTAGTTCGGCGGATTTTTGCTTATATTCGAGGATGTCGGTTTTGGGGATGTTTAGATTTTCGGCTTCGGTGAAAAGCGTTAGGGCGTTTTTCTTTATGATTTCGGTTTTTTGTTTGACGTGCCTCATCCATTCGTTGGTCGAATGCAGTTGCTTGGACGTTTCCTTGATGTCGTTTTGTAGTTTTTTTATCAGTACGATCAATTTCGTTTGCTCTGCGACGGAATTTCTCGCTGTATTGTAAGCTTCTGTTGAGTGGAGTTTTGCTTGTTTGCTGATATTAACGATGTGGCTGGATTGGGTTTCTAAATTGTTAGCAATATCTCTTGCTTCGTGCGATATTTTTGTCATTTTTTCTGAATGTTCTCCTGCTAGGTCCGCTCTGGTTTGAGCGTTGTTTAAAGATTTAATCGCTTCGTTTAATACGTCGTTATTGATTTCTTGTTGTTTCTCTTTAATTTCGTCTAATAATTCATCGGCGTGTTGTATGCTGGTTGTTGCTAGTATATTATTTGTATTAATGTTGTAGATATTTTCGTTTATGTTGTTTAAATTCCGTTCGATTTTAGTAGATGCTTCTTTAATAGATTTTATTTTACCAAGAATTCCTTTATTTCCCATAGTCAATGATGCGTTGGTGTATAAATAAGTAATCTCTTTTTGTGTTTGGTGCAAATTCGCAGAGAATTCCTCATCAGAAATTACAGTAGGTGCGTTTTCGATTTCTTCGAAAACATTTTTCAAAACGTCCAATTTAGAATTGTGGTTGTTCATCTCGATTTCCACTAATTTATAACAATCCGGACAATCGACGCATCCTTTCCTTCTGTCATATTTATTATCCTTGCACCTATCGCATCTTTCACCTTCAACATTCTCGTAACAAGGACACCGCCCGGAGTTATCGCACTGCAAAGTCTGCGATCCGTCCGGATCGCAATTGCATTCTTTGCATCCATCCAAAGAGAATCCGTATTTCCTCGATTCGCAGCGATCGCACCTCAATCTAAAACACACGAATTCATCAGCAATAAAACCCCCGGCGCTCGAAAAACCGCCTCACCCTTCAACACCGGGTCTGCAAAAGCACTGTCCAGTCGAGACGTCGCACGTTCGATTCCAAGCTCCCACCGTGTCGCAATCGCAGCTCCGACAGCCCCCGTCTCCGCTCAAATCGAAATAACCGTCCTCGCATCTATCGCAATTCGATCCGACCACGTGAATTTTGCACTCGCAAACCCCCAGGGCCCGGTCGCATTTCTCCTCGCCGTCGATGTCTTTTTCGGTGCCGAGGGAATTGCACTCGCAGCGCCTGCAATCGCCTTTCGGCAGCGCCAGCGCGTTCCCGTAGAATCCTGCAATGCCATCAAGTAATTTAGACGAATTTTATTGCGATTAATTCGTTTACCTGATAAGCAATGCTCGCATTTAGGACCGGCGGTGTTGAAGATGCACTTCAAGCATTCGCCGGTGGTGGTGTTGCAGTTTCCGATGGCGTTGGGATCGATGTTTCTGTTGCAATCGCACTGTCGACAAGGAATCGGGGTGCCTAATAGGCCGCTGGGATCGCCGAAGTAGCCGTCTGAGCAAAACTCGCAGCGGTGTCCTGTGTATCCTGCGGGACAATCGGTGCATGTGATGGTTTCTTCGTCGATTTGCATGCACGGACCGCCGTTGGGACATCTACATGGTAGACAATCGTTTGCGGTTCCTAAAACAATATGAAAAAAGTAATTTGTTATCAAATTTCAACGAATTGAGTCTCACCTTTTAAAGCGTTTCCGTAGTAACCTTTCGCACAGTACTGGCAATTTTCCCCTTCTGTGTTATGCTGGCAGATGCACTTTCCCGTATCAGAGTCACAAATGGTGGCGTGATTGTTGCAATCGCATGGTATGCACGGTAGAAAAGGATCATTGAAAGCAAGTGAGTGCCGGAAACCGGGAGCGCAGGATTCGCAAAATTGACCGACGTAACCTGAAAAAATGCGTTCTAAAATTTGATATTTTATAAACGTATTTTGTTACCTGAAGGACACTCGCAGGATTCGATCCAGTGCGACGGTTCTCCAGCTATTCCTCTCAGCGCCGTTTCCAATTTCACCTCATCGAGATAGCTGCTTCCGAAAGGCGAGTACGTGCCTTTGATCTTTATTGCCGTTACATTCGTTAATATAGAAATGAAATTCGTGGAGGAGAGTCTCGGTTGCCAACCGTAATCAGGGTGTTCGTGCAAACGGAAGCTGAATTTTTGACTCTACAAAACATCACATAAATTAATGTTTTTTTTTTTCTATAGATACGAATTTAATTTATTCAAATATGCGTTCGTTAGCATTTTATATTGATAACGGTAATTGTAAGCTTTTAACATGTCAATATTTAATGCTATTTATATGACATGTTTTAACTAAATTATTGAATTCATAAAACCAAATGCGTCTTATCGCATAAACCGAATCTAACCGGCAGCGAGCAAGCCGTTTACCTCTGTGGATGGCAGTTTATTCTCCTGCGAGAATATCGTATTAGTAATCGATGCACCGTTTCCCTCGACTATAATATCGGTCGGCGAAGGAGCGGGTCTGTTATCTTCCAATCTCAAAACAAACTCCAATAATTGACCGTAAGACGCCCGCTGATCGCCCTGAAATCTACCCGGCGCTACGAAATACACGATTTCCTCGCCTTCGCTTCGGACGCTTATACTTTGAGCAACGGGATCGTAATTTACGGTCGCGGGATTCCCGAACACGTCCTCAGACGACCACCGCTCATCGCTTCTAGTAAAAGAGGATTCTATCGAATATTTAGAGTAACCGGGCGCGGATTTACAACTCGACGAATGCCCGTAACAGAAACACGGGGTGCAACCGAAGGGGTTGTTTTCTTGGAGGTTGAAGTATCCGGGCTTGCATTCTCGACAACGTTTACCTGAAACATGTCAAGTAGTAATTCTATAATTCATTAATGAATGAAATACGAACCTTCTACGTTTTCTTTGCAGTAGCAATTTCCAGTAAACGGATCGCAAGAGGGCCGGTTTTGAATCGAGCCGGCCGTGTGACAGCCGCAGTTTTTGCACCCGAACGAGGAAAATTCGTAGAAATTCGCTTGGCACTTGTCGCATTTATCGCCGGTCACTCCCGGTTTGCATTCGCATTTTCCATCGGCGCTGCATTGCAGGTGTCTGGATCCGGTGCGATCGCAATCGCAGGGAAAACAGTAGCCGTCCGCTCGCATGAAGTAGTTTTCCCGGCAACTTTCGCAATTCGGGCCATCCCTGTTAGCCGAACAGTCCAAACAGTGACCCCCGTGGCCGGTTTGTTCGTACAGCGACTGATCGAAGTAGCATCTGTTAGAAAAACCATTACAGTTGCATTCTGAAATCGAAAAAAAAGAGATTTATTTACTTAACTCGTAGCAGCGACTCGAAAGCGACAAAAAAACCCATTAAATCTTCCGACTCGTCTAAGTGCCTTCGAGAGATTTCGCACGCCTATGAATGCCTTCGTTAATGCATTACTGTTTAAGGACTTAGAACATCCGTGAAGACATATAAGGCTTAAAGTCCAAAAAGCGACATCATTAGCGAAGTAAAATCTCTTACAAAGACCCGGAGCGGTACAAAAACAATGCCCAGCGCGTTCCTCGTACCGCGGCGCTTGCGAAGCTACAAGGTGGACCCTAAATAGTTGATATATGCTGCATAAAAAATAATGAGTCACGAAGATGTCAAGATGTTTTCGAGATGAAGGAAAGACACCCAATTAGTTTGGAATCACTGATGGAGTTTTAATGACAAAAGATCGGATTTAGAGAGCAATTTATATCAATTCTACGCTATTAAATTCGTTGATTATAATTTCTATTAAAAAAAGTCCATAACATTTTGAGTGAAATGTCGTGTATTAGTTATTATACTTAAGATATCTTTAAGCGCTCGGGGCTAGATAATTTTATTCGAATCGAAATTAAAATAAACCTACTCATTAGCTACGTTTTTGACGTTTCGAATAATTTATACTCCCGGGAATTAAGGAAGTTAATTAGAAAGAAAATTTTAATCAATAACGCGTACCTGATCCTGTATACCAAGGTGTAATTCCATCCCAAACGGTGCAAATTGTATTCCTAACCATCACTAACAAAAAAACCAACCAACACCGACTGTAGTAAACCATACTTTAACAATCAAATTTCTTATTAATCGTATATCAAAAATTTTCGTTGTCCATTATAACGATAATTGCGCTTCCGTCTTACGGCATATTTCTGTCAGTCGTTAAAACGATAATTTTACACGGGAAAATTTATTCCATCACGCGCGTATGAAGCAGCTCCGTCTAACAGCGGGTAATTTGAGCATAGTTTAAATATTTGTATTCACAGCTGCTCGACTACCTAGAGGAATTTCACGAGAACGACCAGCACACAACAAAAATCATTTCGCATCGTTAAATTCGAACGAAATTGCGCACTAACAAGATTCCTTTAGATTAGTTCGTGTTTTGTCGAGGTACCGAAATCGATTATTTTCCCGGCACTCTGTCCAATTTCCATCAACCGCGCGAAGAAAACACCGGAGCATAAACGACACCGAAGTCACCGTCACCGCGTTCTGCGCGACATGAGGCTTCCTAACGAATTGCAGTTTGTTACAGATGGAAGCGGCGTTTTAGCTCCGCTCCGGAGCAACAAGGAACCGTTGCTTTTTTTTCATTAGCTCAAATGAACTGCGATTCAAAAGATTCGAAGGCGAAACTCATTCTATTGAATTGGACGTGTCGGGTTAACGAATCGGAACGGCCGCTCGTACGATCTTGCCGGATGAAGAGCGGAATTAATTCAATTATTAATGAGAATTTTCGATAATTCGTAATTTACTCTCGACGTCAAGTAAATGTTAAAATAGCGTTTAAACGATAAAAATTCTAAAAAAAACTAGAATCTACCTATTAGACTTGAATAAATTCAATGATTTAGCAACGATAGTAATCAATTCCTGCTTGTCGCTTATTTGTACAGACGACTCTCATTACGTATGAACGATGCGTTCGTTTTAATATCAGCTGGTACAATCTTATTTACATGTCTCCGAAGAATGAAGACGACTGACCCGACGTTTACCATCACCGTCGATAATCGTTCAACATACCTTAATAGGCTTATTTCGAAGAATTTATGCTCGCAGTGGCGACTGCGGCATTATTTTCGCCCACGTACGAGTTGCAGCAACAGAAAATTTTCCCGTACGAGAGGCAATTTTTTTCTTATTCGAAGGATTTTGTTAGGAAAATTCGTTTCTCTACGACACTGGTGCTTCGATTTATATTGTTACTTTCTCAATTTATTTATTTAATTATAATAATCGTTAATGTTCTATTTCTTGGTTGGCAAAATGTGAAAGTCTGTACAATATCACCCAATAAATTTCCTTTAGGTACCTACATTAAAAACGCCAATCCTATGTGCAAAAATTAATAAAAACAATAACATAGAACTAAACCACTTAAACGTCCTCCTATATCAGTTCAGTCCATAAAAATAATTTGTTACGAGGAATAAAGCATAAATAAAGATTCAGTTCCCAGCGCAGTCATCGTAAACAAGAGTAAGCAAGGTGAACGTTCGCTATAGATGCAGTTTCAGAACTGGAACTGATCACTCTTAAAGTCGAAGACTGCGCTAATTGCCCTCCTTTATCGGTCCATTAATTACAAACTCGACTCGTATAAATTTCCTCCGGAGCTAAACGTCGCCCGGATTACCCCGGTCGGGTTTCGCTCATTCTTACATTACACTGAGAAGAACGAACACGAGTGTATATACAGTACCTTTGCATTCGTGAGCGCTCTTGACGCCGGCCCTTCCCCAGGGGGCGTCGTTGTAGAAGGGCAAGCATCGCTCGCAGTCCGGCCCGTCCGTGTTGTGCTCGCATTTGCAGGCCCGCGCCGATCCGGGGGAGCCAGCCGAGCATTCCGAAGCGTGTCCGTTGCATTTACATCTGGCACCCACGGCGACGTCGGCGATGGCGTAGAAATAGGATTTCAGGACCTTCTGATCCCCGAACACCTCGTCTCCGAACGTGTTCAGGCGGTCTAAGGTGATCATTATTTCTGTAGCTGTTACCCATTCCTGTTGTGGATATTGGGGCGTTAATACAGGGCCTTCATAAGCGATTGATTGCCATGTGATCACAAGTATGCAACTAATGTTGCACTGTTTGTTTTAATAGGAAACAAAGTCCTTATTAGGAAAAAATTGCGACGTGGAAATCAATCAATTGTAAAGTTTCTATTTACTCCAAAAACTCTTAGTATACCTGTAATTCCGAACTTTCATCAAAATTATAAGCCGAGGGCCGGCCCTCCAGAGTACCGAAGGCGACGTTTCCGCCCTTGAGCGGCGAGATGTCGGAGTATTCTGAAGTGCAAAGGGCTCTTGTTTCATCGCCTCGTAACGTATGAGTGGATTCAGGCAGGCCGTAAGTATCTCTACAAGTAGAACTGAAACGAAAATTTAACTATTCGTATATTGTGTTGCATATCGTCCAGAATGAAATAAACAGTTAAATATACAGGGTGTTTAAAGTATCATTGCATATTTTAAGAAGAATATAGATAATAGGATATTAATTTACCTGTAATATTGATAAGGTATCCAAGGTCCATCATGCGAAGTTTTCTTTGAAATGTGGAAACTTTCCGGTCTCGGTGACCAAAACCAAATGCGTATGTAGGTAATATCGAAAGCTTTGCCTAGAAAAATAATCCGTAATTTTAATCAACCGTAATAATTTCGAGTAAATTGAACAATGATAAATTTCAACCTACATTGTCGTGCAAATAACTGCAATTTATTGTAAAGATTTATGCGTTCCAATTTCGTACTTTCGCACGTCAAATTAAGCAATCACGTCCAATTTTACTCGAATGGTAATTGAATAATTAAATTTCTTACCGAATTTAAGCGTCAAATTCACTTGATTCGGGTACTGCACTCCCTCAAACATAGTCTTCGATTGCCACCATGTCGGGTAATCTTGACTATGGAAATCCGTCATGTACCGCGAATGATGCTCGTTGGTGTAGCACATCTCGCAAAGTCTTCCTGCACCGCCAACTCCTGCTCCAGTTTGCGAGCAATACTCACTGGGCTCATCGTCGCCGCAGGTATTAGACGATTCTATCAGAATATCGAAAGCGGCGTTTTCGAATTCAGGGATACACCTCTACAGAAACAATAAGAATTTAACGGAATTTGGCATAATAAATGCGAGTTTAGATAGCACATTATTCTTTAAAATAAATATGTAGGTTCAATAAAAGTGTCTCGGTGTTTCGGTCTCGGTATGATAAGTGCCGTTGTACCGTAACGAATTTCGAATTACGAGACCATAAGTGCATTTTTAGCTTTCTCGAAAATTTTCGAGGCGGCTTTAAACCAGTTCTTCATACGCGGAGCGGCCTCTTCCGTGTGAGATGTAGAGGATTTACGCAAGTTTATGAAAGAGTGCGACGTAAAGCGCAGCTATAGGTCAAGAAACCCTGTGCTCGCATTGCACGTGCACACGACTGCATCACTAATTTTAGATTTTTGCCTTTTTTTGCGACAGGTAAGTAATTCGAATGTCACGCGGCCGGGGAGTTTCAACCGTTCGAAATTCAGATCTTAATACGTTTTTCACTTACCGTTATTTCGCAAAATATTTACTCATTTTTATGTAGATATGTAAAAGTACAATAAATTATTTTTATTAATACATAATTCAAGCTCGATTTTCCTGCCGAATTACGTATATATTTTTCAGTTAAATTTCAAATATAATATTAATAATTTGGGGAAAATATTTCTTCTCAGAGCAGTGAACTCGGAGAAACGTGACGTTATCTATAAATACCACCTTTCAACTATACTTACAGAGAATAAAGGTATTTTCCTGGCATCCCACGTGCACCAGAAGATATCGGACTTTGGAGATTTTATTAGATATTTCTAGATAATGCCTACTCTTATTAGAATATCTTAGTTTAAGCTGACGAGTAGTTGTCAGTTGAGTATTTGAAATTTCATCGATAAACATCTCGATTTAATCGTGGATTAGAATGAATTTTATTTGTCGGCTAATAATGGTGTTTAATATTGTACAGGTGCCCACAAAAATGCAATTAATAGGATTATTAAATCTTAATAATTCAAAATTCACACTACATAGTTATAATTTTTCAAATCGCACTAATTTCACACTATTATATTATCATAAATGTAGCGCTTATCATAATTGTTAATTTTAACATATACATCGTTACATTTGTTTATGTTAATTTAAGCGCGCTTGTCTACTTGTACTATTTATTAGATATCGCATATTGTTACAAATTTATTAAATACAGGCCAAAAAATTTAGCCGATTAGATATGCGCATCAACTAAATAAAGACTGTTTTAGTTAACTAATACACGTTTTTGGCCTTAAAAAATTATAGAATTTATTGCATAAACAAACTAAAATTTACTGTTTAACCTTATCGAATTAATACCTCAATTACTAGTAAATTAATACATACCTGCGGTCTATTAAACTCATCATAACACCTAGACGCTTTACCACCCACCGCAAAAGTTTCATTAAACTCGCAAAATCGCGCCGATAATAATAAAACAATGCACGACAACCAACAGTTTTCATTCATTTCGACGCCGATTCGACATCAGTTTCGAAAACTTCCGATCGATCGTTTCCTTAATTTACTTATCATCATTCCAGCGCCGACTGAAATCGCCGAGCGGGATCATCTTGTCAAATATCGTTACTGTTTTTTCGGGCCACCGTGACCGCGATGGACGAAAATAAAAGATAAGCCGGCTTGAGCGTCTGTACTCGCGCACCTCGATCTTATTATTGCAATGGTCGCGAGCAAGAAATAAGTTCCCGTCCATCCAGACGCGCTGTACTCTCGAACAATGCACGTTTTACAGGGAGTATTAGAGAAGTTAGTTAATTATAAACTACTAGGTAAATGCATCTTTATTATTACACGCGTACGGAAGTAAGTATTAATTACTGCAGTCTAATCTAATTTTGTGGTGAATGCAGAACAGTATCGACGCTACTGTCTTTGTGTTCGGTATCTTCAGATGATGATTTATCTGTTAAAACATCGTCATCCAGATTGTCAGGCTTTAAATTTGCGGCTTCTTCTTCCACTAAAGTTTTTATGGTATTAACTAACGATACATTTTCTTCTAAATCGTTGTTGTAATACCTAATGGTATCCTCATCAATTGTTGCTTGTTTGGTGAGGGCGCATTTGATGCGCGGTTGAAACTTTTTGTTTTCTTCTTCTGTTGTTTGTGTTGGAGTCGTGTCGGTATCTTCTTCGGTCCAGGGTTCGTCACAGGCGTGCTCGATGTTGTCAGAGATGTCTGATTTACTGATGGTGATTACTGGTATGGTATCAGACCATACTGATGATTCCGAATCTTGCCTGAGGTCTTCCGGCGGAGGAGCTTTAGCTTTACTAACTGAGCTTCTTCTTGTAGCTGCGAATTCTTTGGGATGTGTTATTTTGTTAGCATCAGAGTTTCTTCTACTGGTCAGGTCTTTTGAAGTTGAAGGTTGATTAATATTTGCTTCTTCTGGAATAGGAATTTCTTTTTGTTCCGGATATTTCTCCTCGACTACATCTATTTTGTTGAGGTCTGTTTTAGTCTTTGGTTTGTTGCAAGGAGTTTTAGCTGCTGGAGTTTCGTTTTGTTTGACAAATATATCCCGTATACTTGGAGTAGTGCGAGTAATGCTGGAATGTCTGCGATTTTCATTAGTTTTGTCACTAATTTGAACGTGTTTTGCTTCATTGTTCGTTTTTGTTTGAACGGTTGGTGGAAGATCCGGTTTAGATTTTTTGAGTAATAAAGCGCGTTTGGCGACGTTTTGAAAATCAGTCGCGCCCCATGAAAATGAAGGTTTTGCGTCTCTTGGTTTTGCTAAAGTATCTAAAGGAAGTGAATCGTGCTGTTCAGTATCCGTTCCATCGTCAGCATTTTGATCGTCTTCGGATGTTGAAGATTTCCGCAAAGCGAGCTTAATCAATTTCGAGAAAAAATCTACAAAAATTTCATAAGTAGCATGTATAATATTTTAAACATTATATCACTTACCTTTGCTCCTAGTTTCCATTTTGTCATCTTTGTTCTGTATTTCTTCGCCTTCTTGTTTTGGAGTGTCATCCAAGCTTTTCCCGGAAGGTATATTTACAAGAAGTTTTTTCCATTTGTTAAAAGGAGTATTGGATAGTTCGTTGGACTCACCAGAGCCTCCTCTCCTTCTTCTGTCGGCTAGTTGGAACATTTTTCGTCTTTCTTCTGTTCTTTCCCTTCTCAATTGAATCTGAAAAATGATTATTAAACGTGCGTAATTATATTATAAATAAACCTGCACCTTTAATTCCTCGTTGGCTTCTCTTAAAGAATTGGTTAATGATAGTAAGTAGTAGATAATGAGAATTAGCAGCACCAAAAGAGGAATTACTATTCCAGGTGATGCTATGTAATCCAGAGCTCTTTGAAGAACATGGGGAACATTATCCTTTATTGTTTTTGTAAAAATATGAAAGATTCTTCCATATTTTGAAAATGGCCCACAGTGCCATGAAGGCTTGATCCACACAATCGTATATCCCACTGGTAAGACGCAAAGGAACAACATCATTAAAAGTAAGTAGTAATAAAAATTGTTCGATCTACGAAAAAAAAGTTAATATCAATTAATATTCTTTTAATTTTTCCAATACCTGGACGCTCTAAAAATTACTTCTGGTGGAATATTGCAAGTCATTACAGTCCAGGTTTTGAAATACATTGTAATGTATAATTTGATAACATTAAACACAACCAATCCCGGACAAAAAAACATTCCCATCCAAACCATTCCTTGATTATTAACGAGACTTAAAATATTTTCAGCAACTTTAAAATCGCCGTACTTGGGAAATTTTTTCTCGAGATCCCAACACCAACACCTACAATCATTACCATTTCTACTCCCACCCATAAAAGTCTGATGGCTTACCTGTTCATAAATCTAACGAATATTCCTCGAAAAAAGTCCATACCTAACGAAGGTACAATGGTCATAATCAGATCCATAACTGTAATGCTTATCAACTCCTGTCCGAACATAGTCTCCCAACACAAATTGCGAAACCTGGCCCTCATGGTATAATTCATCCCCTGCTCGGCATTTTCTGTACTGATGCCCCTGCACAATTCCTCGCAATACGGCACCTCCGTGGAGGTGTAGACATCTTCTTGAAGAGCAGTAGTAGTCAAATCAGTAATAGTCGAGGAGTAATCAAAGTAATAATCGAACGTCGTTAGATTAGCCGATTCGGTGTTATTCAATAACGGGAATATGGTGGAATTGAATTCCTCCCAGGTAATAGTAGTGATATTATCGAACGCGCTGGTGTAGTTCTCGTAAGTTACAGTCGAATTGTCTTCGGTTAACGAAAACAAAATCGACGTGAGATAATCGGCTAGATTATATTCGAGATCGGTGATGTTCAGTTCCTGAGTGATGAAGTCGGTTACGTTATCTAACGTAATATTAAAGTTATCGACGATTTTTTCCTGAATAACGTGATTAACCAATTCTGTTAATGATGAATTTAAAAATCCGACGTCTGATATTGAATTATTGAAGGTCGTTGTTAGGTTTGTTATTACTAAGGTCGTTACATTCGCGGCTAGCATGCCCAACTGAGAATGTAACTTCGAAAAATGTTGTTGCAGGATATAATTATCCGAACGAATCGGCGATGAGTTGTAAAAATTGATGCAGTTGCATTCAATAGGCACTATTGATGTTGTGGATGCGTATAAGGATTCGTTTAGTATTTGCGTAATGTTTTTGAACATTTGCAACTCGGTTGTCTGAAAAATTTGTAAATAGCGAACTTTTTTAGACTTGTATTGGAAATACTTGCCATATCCCCTATTTTATCAATCAAAGCGAATATGAGTGAGTATAAATTCGCCAAGTTAAGAACCATAATCCTATAAGAAACAGAAATGCAAATGTATGTATTACAATTCATCCTCTTACCTTCCTAGTTGTAATCGTAGTTGTTTCCTAGGATGGTACTGTTCAAATAGGCCCAGCACTTCGAAAATCATCGGAAAAACAAAGGCTATCAAAGACATGACCATTGCGATTTCGTTTTTCCTCCAAAACGAATTTTCAGCTTCAGGTTCAGTGGATCTTTTCACTACTAACACAACCACATACATCGATAACGCCAGTAGAGCTATCACGACTATGTTAACCAATACGCGAATGCTCGTTATTCTCCAACTTAAAAACGGAATCTTATTAAATTGAAATTAAAAAAAGGCGATGTTTACTTACTTTCTCGTGTCTTTCTTCTTCTCAGCTTCCTCAAGCAAGGCTTCCTTGAAGCCCATTATAATCGAAGCCACTCGATTATGGGCAGTTTCGGCGTTTCCTATCATGTAATCCCAAGCTGTAAAAACCTTCCAAGTAAACGTGAATTCGTCGTCCTTCTCAGAGAGTTTTGAAGTGCGAGAATTTTCAGCCATCCTTCGAAAAAATTAACATATAAAAGCTATTGATTAAGCGATATTGTATTTACTTTCTCAGTGTGGCGACAAAGCTGTACCCGTATACAACCAATCCGGTCATGAAGTACGCCAAAGGCACTTTGTAGCCTCCTGATTCTGTATTGGAATACCAGCCGTAAAATAGAGGAGTGTATTTCAAAACTCCGTCGAATTCCCAGAGCGTCATGAAGTTAGTCGAGTTGTATTTATCCTCGTTCAGCACGAATTTCCTGTCTTTTGATTTTATCGGATTCGCTATCAACAGCTGAAAATTCGCATAATGTTCCAAAAATGTCTACATCAAAAATACCTACATAAATCGTTTTTGGAGATGCAAAAGGCTAATGTTAACTAAGACGCATAAAAATATACATTTTCTTCCGCTGTGTTCAATTTTAGTAATAGAATAATTAGGTAAAGGAAATTTCAAACATTTCATTCTATTCGTTTATTACTACATGGCGAGTTGATTTTTCCCGTAGTACACGCCGAAGCTATCGACAAAGTTCGTTTTAGTCAAAACATACTCCTTATATTCGTCTTTAACTTGTACGAAGTAAATCCCTTGTGGAATGTAAGACCCTGCGGATATTCCCATGGGATACACCTCGAGATCCTTCGTTGTTTTGTTCTTGTATTTTATCCAAGATTCGTAGGAAAACGCTTTAAATAGGTCCGGTCGCCGGATAGAAGCAATGAACAATTCACAAGCCCTAATGTGGCTGCAACTCCCTGAAACAATTTTCCATTAATATGTTTGAGAAGTTTATGAAATAAAAATTATTACATTTAGTACAACCCCACTGTTTCTGACCGCCGTTAACGTAATAATCGATGTGACCTGTGGGTATTACAGTGCCAATGTGCTTGGAGTTGGTATGAATTATATCAACAAAATAGGCGTCTGATGGGTCTAATAGTTCATCTTTCGATTCGATGTGAGGCCATTCATAAAGCGGACCGGCGGGATCTAACCCTAAAAAAATATTGGTAATTTCGTAAATTTTTAAGTGATGGAAACTTACCAGTAATTCTTCCTATTTTTCCACCTCTTTCGTTTAAAATCGCATGCGCCGCACTGGAAGCGATTTGAGCGCCCATACTGTGACCGACAATGTGGATTTTGTCCATAGAATAGCCTTTAGTGGTTTCCAAAGCAAACAGGAATTTTTTTAATTGTTTCGCCACCACTAAATTGTGGATTCTCGCTTCGACGTACGGCACATGAGAAAGTTTAGACCAATCTACTACGAACACGTTCCAGTAACCAGTTATTTCTAAAGCTGTAAAGATGCCATATGAAGTTGTTTTTCTCAATGTATTTGAATTTTTCTACTAACCTTCGGCCATTTCGCGAACCCATGGCGTGTCTTTTCCATGCGTCCATCCATGAATGATGATGATTGTTTGCAATTTAGCATCGAATGGTATTAAATTTAACGAGTAATAGTCTTTAATTTGCATGTAGCAAATACGTGCAACGTTTCTACAAAATAATTTTTAAATTTATTGCACAATCGGTTATATTATTGGTACTTACTGATGTACAAAATGAAATGATACTTCATTTTCCGGAGGAATGTATTTGTATAAACTATGCAGGTCCACTAGTGGGTAAAGTAACGCACTAAATCTTCGAAAATATATGACCGTAATAAAAATTATTATTCTCATGTTGTTTGTAACGAAAATGTTTAGAAATTTGTCATATTTTATAATATGCATACAATGCAAAAATGGATTATTTACTTACCTTATTAATTGTTTATTTCATAGCAAAACATCGATTGCACAATTGCGCGATTAGTAGGTAATAATCACATTTTTAACGAATCCGTCGAAGAAAATAGTAGAAAATTACTTACTTCTGGTATGGTAACGAACGATATCAAAGCTATAGATATAACTGTGTTGACCCAAAATAACCATCTTAAGAAAATAAAATAGGACGCCACTACCGATCCGAAGTGCGATTCTATTTCTTTTATTTTGCGTTCCCAAGGGATGAACCACATCGACATATTAACTACTTCCCTTCTGAATTTATGCCATTTCTAAAAATACTTCGATACAATTTAATTTCAGAAAAATCGAGTTGTTTACTCTTATCAACAGAATGTTCCATCTGGCCAGCATGTCTTTGGTAGAACGACTTTGGGCCAACCTTTCCTGCAAAACACCTTCGTGCTTTTTAATATAAGCCTTCGCTTGCACGACCAGCTTCAACTTCTTTCTCATATTCCACGGTTGCATTCTCACGTTGCTCAGCACTTCTTTGTGCAATTTAATGTTTTCCAAAATTTCCTCTTGCGTCGCCTCGTTGACTAGGTTCTCGTCCATAGTGATAGCAGTGCTAAAAATCGCGGTAAATTAAAAAGAACTGATGCGTGTTCGTTCTACCGACTCTCCCGAAGAAGTGGTGAACACCGAGGATCTTCTACCATTCTCAGCGCCCGGCAAAATGTCGGGATTGAACGGCGAGGACGTTCGCCTGATTCTTTTTTTCGATTTGCGAATAGAAGCTCGTCTTTGGATGATGACGTTAGCGCTGGCGGAATAATCCTCCTGATCTGATTCCTCTGCATCTGAAATTGTTAGTATTCATCTCGAGAATTCGAACGTTATACTTTCTTACAACAACACAAGATATTTTTTAAAAAACTCGTGGTCATGTTAATGAAAAGAGACATGCCAAATTTTTGTTTGGGAATCCAATAACCAATAATGGATACACACCTCGAGAAATTGGGTTAAATTTGTTTGTTTTGCCCTACCTAGACACATCGAGATTTATTGTAATCTTGCGAGAAGTTTCTACGTAATTAATTTTCATTTAATTTAAGATTTCATTTCATTTAATTTAAGATTTTTATTGTCGTTGCTAACTTTCTAAATTGCATTGTAATCTACAACTAAATCTAACGACTAGGTAATTTTATAAATTGCATCTGAAGACAATAAATCCTGTGGTTTATAGAATCTATAAATCTCTTCTAAATTATAGTAATCATTGTTTATTCCGACGTGACTGCACAATATCATTATTGTAGATAAAACGTGCAGGTACACTCACAATAAATTAACAAGTTTAATAAAAAATAAATTACCAGTATTTACGGGATTGGTGTTAATAACGTCCATTTTCACTGGTGATGGTGTAAAATAGTTGATTTTCGTGGAGCTGTCGCTTTTGAGGGAATCATCTGCAAACGTTACAGATAATCTGTCGACAGAGGGTTGAGGAGACGCAGGCTCCCCCTAAAACACCAATAAACTACATTTAACCAAAAATTCTCCAAAACACTCCCGGATGAAATTTTCGTACGAACTGATATAAGGGCGCGCCCGATGGTTTGTCGCAAATATGGAAGAAAAATAAAAACTTTATGCGAAAGTTATTACCCTTGACTTATTTCTAACGTAACACGTAATAGTTAAGTAATAGAAATATAAAAATAATATTTGACTTACTTAGTTATTTAGATATTTAAAAATTCCCGTAAATTTTTTTAATGTAAACTTGGGTGCAACTTGAAACGTTCCCTTAATAGAAATCTGTGCAACTGGTGTTCGAGGTCGTTCAGTTCAATGGAAGGAAATTCCTGTGCTTTTCTCGAGCATAGTGGGGTGAAAAAGGGTTAATCAAAATCATGAGAACCTTCGAACACGCGTTTATTCAATCTCAGCCACACCTAATACACATTATCGTTAATCTTTCGATTCGGACTGTCCTTTTTAATTTCATTTTCTTCGACTTGAATATAGAATGGAACGAATTCAGTGGCGGATGGTTCAGTTTTCTCACCCGGAAAACCAGCTAATTACCGATTAATCCGATCGAAATTTCACTAAACCCGGATTTAAATTAAAATGTCTCATGGGCAAATTTGTTTCTGTCAAACGCAAATCCGGCAGTAGACGAGCTCGCGGTCTCGCTGCTCCTATTTTTATGGAAAAATTAATTGCCCATACGTTTATTTTCATTGTTCGAATAGTGAGTTCGGTACACGCCCTGCCGTTCGTGCTGAAAATGAAGATGAAGCGAGTGAAAATGCGAATTAACCCAACGCGATTACTGTAATGCACACCACACCTGCCCTTATAAAAACTGCGTTATGAAGGATTTTTTTTCAATGCTCATTAGGAGATTAAACGACAATCAGTCGATCTTTTCGTGTCAATTTAACAGAATTATAAACTGAAATATAATAATAACAGACACTGCTTATTGTGTGATATTTGCTAGGTATTATTTGTAATTTTGTTACTTACAGTTTGATACTTAAATTCCGCTGACAAGCATCTTGGTTTTCCAAAATCTAGCCGGAGGATACCTGGAGGAATTTCTCTTACTCGCCTGTTGGTAATTAAATTGGCTCGAGACTCCATTATCAACAAAAATTTACCAAATTTTCACCCAACTAGCCGATGTTCTGCTACTTCTCACTTCATAAAACATACCGTGAATTAAGCAATATTTTTTTCGAAAACTAAAGTTACAAATGTTCAAAGAAAATTGTGTTATGAAACCATTGTGTTCATCTATCAACTGAAAATTTCAGAATGTCCACGGCACACCTAGCCCTTATTAAAACTTTAATGTCCACCTTATTTAATACGGTCAACGTATCACGCGAAAAGTACATATGCCTACGCAATTTTCGAGTTACTAATTGAGGAATTTTTTTTACGCGCGTAATTTGATACGATTTTCCCATTAGCAAGGGACAATTTAATTAGCGGGTCGGGATTTTTTAGGTTGGTGGGTAAATATTTACGGCATGAACGAGAATTTCGGGTTTTTGTATAAACAATGGAAATTAACCGGCGTGGAAGCGGAGCAGTTTTAGTGAGTACTTTTCGAAAATGTCGGGTTTTTGGTATTTTGTCCAATTATTCCTGACCGGGCTATATTGAATAAACAAAATTGAAACCTAATGCTGTTTGCATATTTCTCGGTACGCATAAAGTGATTAGAACTAACGAGAAACGCTAGTTAATTAGTTCGGCATATTGATAATTTGAAGTTTCATGCGAAATCCCTATTATGTAATTAATTAAATTGTAGTCGAGGACTTACGCCATTTTGAATCACTCATTACTTGTACCAGTGGAGTGAATATGAATGAATGATTCGATTAGTACTTGAAATAAGACGACTGTATATGAAGAAATTAAGTGATTTTCTTTATTTTATAAAAAATTACACTAATCAGTCATGCAATGATTAGATTTGGATATACGCAAAATTATTACGAACTAAATTAAAATCTAATTTACTGGAAATGTATCTTTTTGTAATGATAATTTTATTTCAACATAATTATCCATTACTTACAAGTAATAATAAAATGTCAATAAAACTAAGATGATTTTACCATTACATTAGTCAAAAGTATTAATTGACTTTAGGTAAAATAATATCAGAACAATTCTAGATGCTATTATAGAGATTAACTACAAAAATATAACTATTTTTAATACAATTTCAGAAAAAATTATTGTTTTATAATACTGTACAGTTACAACGTATTTGTGGCAGTTAATGGGAATTAATGGTACAAAATTGAAGTAAAAATTAAAGCTTCCTTTAACTAATATAACTAGTTAATTAATTAATAAGTCAGGAATGATGAGTCGCATTCACAATTTTTAATGAAAGATAATAAAATGGTATTAAAACTGCCAATAAAAAATAACCGATAAAAGGTAATTCTAATTCTATTGTAAATGTAGCATTGTAATTTGTAATATTCTTTTCAGAATACTATTTTTAATGGAATGATGGGATCGATAGTCACCTTTGGCATTCGATTCGATATTAATTAATATGATACGAAGTCTTTTTAAAGAACTCAAATCTTACCACTAATTGTGTTACAATAAATTATAATATTAATATTATAGTATTTATAAAAAATTGAATATAATTGTTGTAATATTAAAACATAGAACGAAAATAATAAAAAATAATGTTTGTACTATCCATTCGTCTGTTTGGAGAGAGAGCAATTTATTCTAAAATGTATTACAAATCAATTAATATTATGTATATTCTTTATTGCTAACTACACACAATTGAATACTATTTCTTCTAGTGGAATTTCTCCTGTTATCAAGAGAATCTGATATAATAGACACATTTAATATTGCATTCTTCCTCCTACGTAAATGTCGTTGGCATTTGATATAAATAATTGTAATTTAGTCTTCTATCCACACATTACTATCAGGACAGATTAAGCTAATTATTTATGGCAATTCGATATGAAACATTTTCAGAATGCCCCAATTTTAACACTACCATTAGGACACTCAGTACATGAAATAGGAAATATACGAAAACTCGATGAAGAATTCTAACAGGGCTCGATTCGTCAAAAAGTGGTCACCTTCCCCAATCTCAGCCCAAGCAGTTTCCTCTGCTTCCTGGCGCTGAGTTTCGACAGGAGGTTCCTCGTTCCCTCGATGATCTCCTTTTCGTCGTCGTCCTCCTCGGCCTCCTGGTCCTGGCAGGAGACGAATCCAGACTCCGGTCGGGAAATCGACAGAGGCTCCAGCAGCTCGAACCAGCGTTCCACTTTCGCGTTCGACGATAGCTGAATAAAATAAATAAATCCATTATATTTACAGCAAGTTTTTTTTTAAATGAACAGATTGGATGAAATATTTGTGGGTGTAAGGATGAGGATTTTCGATAAACGGTTCGATAAAGAGGATTGGGATCCTTTTCAGATCTCAAAAAAATATTTAGGTATATAAAAATATATAAAAATCTTTGAGTGAGAGAGTGAGTCAGCGGCCTATGCAGCTTTATTATTTAAGGAGATGAAAAGAAAGCCTGCTGTAGGAAACTTCGTTGGAATTGAGAATTGAATTCTAAAGCTTCCATTATAATTTTTGCGTCGTTTGGAAACTTGACCGAGTGGAAATCAAAACTGATTCCATTCCGTTAAAAGATTTAATAAACGGTTTCAACAAGTTAAATGACGCGAAAGTTTTCCAACTTTTCAATTACACGAATCCGGACCGTATTCATTTTCATCCCGAGATTATTAAAGAAGGGCTTCGTGAAGAACGGGAAAAATTGACTGGGATTTTCGTTTGAGGTATCACGCACAGTGGTAAATGAAAAACAGTCGATTTACTACTGAAAATTTAATACCGAAATTAAATTAATTTATTATTAGCGATTTGTTCACTCGATAATTTCATTTAGGTAATGTCCCAATTTCTATTTTATTTACACAAAAACTTTAATAATTTAATATTTTTAACTTAAATTACATTCGAAATAATCATTAACATTACCTATTTAGGTTACTTTAAAATTTAATGTTAATGAACATTTTAGATTTCTGCATTAATGATTAGATTAGACTACACTAAATTCGTTCTCATATTTATTTTTATTTTCAGTAAACTATTATTGGAATAAAATTACATTTTTACATAAAATAAAGGAATGTACAAGATATTGAATATATCTGCAACACTTTTATACATTCATTTTTACAGTTCGACACGATTTTTAATTCAAAACATGATAACATTCTTGTATCCTAAATTAATTGATTAATTTTTCAGTTTAATTTAGCTTTTATCAAACTTTTATAGAGCAGGGCCCGTTAAAACTCCAACTCGACTCCTTTTTAATAGCATCCCGAGCTCAATTAAACGTCTCCACACGAATTCACTTAGTTTTATGCCTCACTAACGTGTTCTGCTGATTGCTGCTTTTATAATAACATTTATCACTGGCTCTCGGCAAAGACTTGTATCTATCATCGGTCCTCAAATTACCGAAAGATTCACTCAAATCTTCCCGCGAATTGGACAAAACGGGAACGACGACTCTGAGCCTCCCATCCGCATCGGTGGTGGTTAGAGTGCCCATTTGCGAGTGCGGTTTGATGAATGGTCTTCTATCCTGGCATTTTTCCTGCGTTTTTGCCTTCGAGCTATCCTCCCCCTGCTTTCTGGGTGTAATGGTTTGATAGAGAGGATTCGGACTGGATTCGCGTAGACTTGCTTCAGCTTTCGCCTCGCTTTTGGGTATGATTTTTTGATAAATCGGCGAATCGGACTCTTTTTGCTGATATGTATCAGATCCTTGTTTCGTGTAATATTCATCCTTTTTACTAGGCGGCGATTGGTTGAAGTAGTTGGGGTTGAATTGCCTGGGTTCGCTGTGCCTTCCTCCTGCGAAAGGTCGCGCGAAAACGTTCTTCTGCGGTGGATTTTGCAGCGAGAAGTTCCCGTTCAAAGTCGGCGAGTACAAATTCGGCAGCAAATAGGGCACCGATTGCGAGAACGGATAAGCGAAGGGATTAGACGGCTGTAGAGCGTTCAGGGCTTGTAACTTTTGGAGTAGCTGGTTCTCGAAAGTGGCCGCTTCCAGGCTCTGAGGATACGCGAAATTAAAAACGTTTCCGGCCGGATTGAAGGAGCTTCGCAGCGGCGAGGCGGGAACGAACGAGCCCGAGCTTCGGTTCTCCGGTAAGCCCGGCAGATTGAAGTTCATCGAATTGGCGGCGTCCGCGTATTCGTACATGTCCGATGAGGACGTGCCGTTCGGGGTCTGTTGCTGGAACACGAGAAAATTTGAAGTTAATCGGACGGTAAATTCGGCGATTAGAATGCTGAGAAAATATATTTTGATCTTAACCCTAATTGATTCGATAAATATAATCCGGGTTTTAAGCGTCGTGAATAAAAATGAGATGAATCTTGGAAAAATTTTAATTACGAGCGGAAACTCATCTGACGGATGAAACCGTGATTTATATTTCGCAACCGCGAGAATAATAAATCAACGTAAATTTTGTGTACTCTAGCTCGATATAGCCCAAGGAACATCAGCATTCCGTGGGATTTAATTATTTTTTGCAACAAAATAAACATAAATTTTAAGTAGCTCAAAAACACATAAAATTTATAGAATACTTAGTTTTATTTCTCAAACAGAGATCATTGTAAACAGTTTGAGTTTAAATCAAATAGTAACACCTTGTTAGAGTAGTTAATGTACTTCTAAATTTAAATCAACCAAATTACAATAAATATATTTTCTCATTAAACTATTATACACTGAACAATCATTATTAATATATTAATATTTAAACATAAATGAACAAACAAATCAAAGCATGGAAATAAAAAAAAGATAAAAAATAAATATTTACCTAAAAACTGGATGTGCACATCAAATCCAGTACTATTTGGTTATTATTATCCAGACTTTGAGCAAAGACCTAAACACAAAATGCGACAAATCCTGGATTAACGCCATTTATCTGCATAGGCAGCGGAGCAAACTTGGCAGATGGTGTGAGAAAAGCGGCACTATTTCACTGTCATTTTAATCGGCGGCTTAAATAATTCGCAGTTAAGCAATTAAAGTCATGCAAAATATACCGGTATTTATCAAATATGATGATTTTTGGTACTTAAATTGCTCGAATGTGAATCGCTTGAGATCAATTACCAAATTTTTAAAGTTTCCTTCGAGCAATTATTTACGAGTAATTTACAAGTCATTCTTAATTTGAATATTAGCTTTAAATTCGTAACAAAAAACGACCATTTTTTAAAAATTCAACGTCATATAAGTTTAATCGAACTTGGCGAGTAATTTTATTTTATAGCGAGCGACATAAAAATTTCGCACATTTAGAAATAACGCATTTATTACATACCTGAGGCATGGTCATGTGCGGAGGCGTAGGTTGTTGTCCTGACTTTTCGCTTCCTTGCAAATGACCCACCAAAGCCGCTATGTGATCTAGGAGTTCCCGGTTATGTATTAAAAGTTGATGTGTCCTGGCCTGCGCCTCCAGTCTTGCCGCCTAAAAATTACATCGAGTAAATTACATTCTGTATTCTCGTTTCATTATTTCCTGTATAATCAAACAAGCCAGCCTTTAAGGAAATCACAGATGTTTAATTAACCTTATCATTGCAATGATCGCGTGGCTAAAAGCGTGAATATATCGAGTAGATGTGGCTGAATAGAATAATTCATAAGTTTTGCGAGATGCAAAAATTGCAAAGGTGTGAAACTTAGCCCACATTGCACTTCACAGGAGTGTATAGTGATTTATAACAATAATTCTTACAGTATTCGAGATTAGCGATCATTGTCAATAAAAACGTTTCGTTTGGTTTAACGAACTCTAATCGTACCTACAAAGTTATTTTTGAGTTCCTGTACATCTGCGAAGAATTAAAACATAAAAGAATAATCCGTCGTCGCTATAATAAAATTTAACGACATCTTCTAAACTTTTTCCCATTTGTTCTGTTGCCACTTCGATATTTGTTTTTCCTGTATCAACAATAAATTTAGTCGACTTTCTATTCCGTAATAACCGTGAAATAGAGTCGATGCAAGTCGGAGGAGCTCCGAGTTTTGGCACGAAACTTTGTATTCGTTTATTTATAGTCGAGAAAAACTATATTTCGCGCTGTAAATGCTAGTTTCCTAAGAAAAACTCACTTGCTCGGCGGCTAATTGTTCCCTGGCTAATTGAAGCTGGGCCAATGCAGCTTGTGTTTGCTGGGTCTGTTGCTCGAGCTGCTCTCGCATGAGTTGCAATTCGTGGTGAGTGGACAGAGCTGTCCCGGGCGGTGGTAAACTTCCTCCGCTTTCGCCACTTCCAGTAGTAAGACCGTCGCTCAACGGAGAAGAATACATTTCCGCAGATTTCTAAATGAATAAAAAAAACAATTCGTTACATAACATACACGAGCGATTGTATTATTAAGTTGTTACTGAAATAGACCGCCAATAAAAAGTAGGTATTAATTAAGTTGCAAATCAATCCTATAAATAAACATTAGTACAGTAAAAATTTAACGATGCTCGGGCGTAATTTAGTACTTTTCGATAACGGTTAATTGCATTACTTGTCTTCGGTTCGATCTAAATGAGTGATATTTTCAAATGCAACAAATTTCGAAAACTAATTTCCGCTTATCCTTTGAGCTAAGGACGAGATCATTTAACTTTATAATGAACTTCAATAGAAGTCTAACAACTCTATGACTCAGACGTTTAGAAAAATAACTTCTTTGATGATTGTAAAATAAGCATTCCGAAACGTCGTTAAGAAAGTCGTTTAAAGTTTGAATGAAGCCGTTGGAAATATAGAAGCCTAACAGGGTTTTTTTTTTTGTTAAAATCCCCGAGCAAATGGAAAACTTATCTTGATTAATTTCGAGCGAGGTAGAATTTTTCTATTTGAATAGTATCGTAAATACAGCATGTACCCGGCCCGTAATTAATGCCATACAGGTTACAACAAAGTCCTAAGCGGGAGCGTTGCAGTTACAACATTTAAATATGCAAATTATTTAAATTTATTTACAATGAATTCTTCGGAAGCGTTTCCGTCCGCAATTAATTCCTGCGACGAGCGGTGACCCGGCCGGTACATAGCAGGAGGACGGCATATTCATAAATTCGCCACAATTATTGTGAATTATTTTCGACTAGCCTAATATACGTACAATATATGGAGTACTAAATTACGTCGGAGTGCGCTCGCTTGAAAAATTTATAATTTTCCACTCACGCTGTTCCGGAAAGTTGGAAAATTGTTTACGAAGAAAAGAAAATTATAGACGCTATTTTTATGTTAAAAAGTAGAACTGAGAATCTCGATAAAAGTTGATAATATCTAGAGATTTATAGACTGAAAACTTACCAGTATAATATTCTTGGAGTTAACATTGTTTGGTGGTGGAGGCAGCACATCCAATTGACCGGTTGTCCTAGTACATTTTCCTGTGTCCAAATCCCTGAAACTGCAGTCATCAGGAGGCAAGGACACTCTATCGCTAGCACCTTCCGATAAAATATCTGGAGAAATTAAATTTTAATTGAGTTCAGAGCAAGTTGAGCGTACTGAATAATGTATAAAGGCGAAAATAAAACTACTATGTTGTCTACAGATTGTCAGCATGAAAAACAAACGTAATTTTTAGGTTGTCGAATTAACTACCAAGTAGCTTATTTTAAATAATGTTCGCCATGTGTTAGATCTATCGAAATAAAATCTTAAAACATCCTACATATTTTTTAATAAAAAAATCGATTCGAGTCAGATAATTGTGCTGTTTTTATAATAAAAACAAAATGTAATTGCCCCTTCGAGAATGTGCCAAAATAATTTGTAGTCAATCCACGCGAAATTTTTTTATCGTTCCTTTGACCTTTAAATTAGTAGATAAATTTAGGATTAAAAAAACTTTTCAATGTTATATGACCAAAACGAGTTATTAATTTTCATCCCTCCGATATTGCAATCATCCCGTTTCCCGGACACCCAGAAGGGATAAATTCGAAATTAATGTCGCCAAAACTATTTCTGTAACAAAAACCAATTACTCGGTTTGTTTTGTTTGGCGGTGCTAATCGAAATTATTTATAAATCGGAAATAGATCAGTCAGTAAATCCCAATTGAAGGACCTTTTACATCAACGATCAAACCAGAATTAGGTAACACAATAATTAAATACCTAAATTTTTAATCCAAACAACGAACGTGATTCATCGCGCGCAAATTATTTAGCGTATTAATCCGAATCGCAATTAATCGCAAGCTGCATTAAGTGCAACATCATTGGATACAAACAATTAGCAGAATTATTCGCATTAATAAATATCTGCTCTCGAATTACTCCGAGTAAATAAGGTTGTTTGTTAATCATCAAACGTACAGAACGCTGTATGTGCACAATTTCAATTGTCAGGAAAAACTCAATTGGATCGAAAGTACAACAAATAGATTAATCAATATAGCATAAAACAGATTGCTGATTGTTTAGTTGTATATATCGAGAAAACGAGAACATATTTATTTTTCTAAGTATTATATTTGTGGAAGGCTAAGTGGAATTGCTTATTTAATTTCTAGAATTACTTTAGGTATATTATCCTTAAGATGATTCTGTAGAATTAACTTGGGATTTTTTTTTCTTAATTAACAGATCTACCACAAACTCCATATATTTTCAGCGCCACCTAGTCGCTCAATTCGAACATTTTACGTACCTCGTTTCGGTTTATCACTGGTAATATCACTAAGGCGATCGCTGAGTAAGTCTTGTGTAAGCGTATCCTGTTCGTCCTGATCCAGGTGATCGTTTTCAGGATTGTTGATCGAAAGTTTATGGCACACTTCGAATGCTTGACCTACTGTTCGAACTACGCGCATAGCTTGGCTCTGAAACGATAAAAAATATATTTTTCTCGGCTAATAAATTCGCCCAGTTTGTATCAAATCGTACGGTGAAAGAGTATAAGCGTTTCTCGTGACAAAATTGGTGTAGATTTATCTATGTGTAGGTGTAGTTAAGCGTCGCGATTTTATTGTTAACGTTCTAAAATTATGTTATTGCTAATTACGCTGATATAAGTTTGACTATAAAACGCGACTTTAACGATTGGAATCGAAATTCCCCAAATAATCCGGCGGGGGAATTAGAAACAAGACGTCGATAAATCACGAAATGACAAGGCGCCTGTTTATGACAGAAATTTTATTGCATAATTAGGCTAGCCGTGTGAGTTACCTCTAGTTCGGCGTCGTCGAAACCGGCTTCTTTTTCCAAAACCCCGTTGAAACTGGCTGTTCTGTTCAAAGCCTGAGGTTTTGCCGAAGCCTTTTCGATGATATCGCGTATATTTTTGTAACTACCACTTCTGTGTCTCAAACCGCCGATGCTCAATTTACGGTTATTCGTTATTGTTTCCACTATTTCAGGTAATTTAAAGGAGAGTTTTTTTCTGGGTTTCTCCAGCGCCAGCGCTTCGGCTACCGGCGGCGCTTCTAATTTATCAAGGCACAAATTCGATTTCGTTGCACTACAAATAACCTCGTCGTTTTCATCGGTTATTTTTATTTTAATCGGGTAGGAATCGATGGAGGTCTGCTTGTGCAAAAGGTTCGACTTGCGTTCCTTTCTCGATTCGGGATTGTGGTATATTTGCGGCGATTTCCTGTAGTATTGTTCGAAATTAACCTGCGTATTGGATTTAACCATGCCTCTTTTGGGTTGATTGGAATCGGCAGCCGAAAGCGTTTTATTCGATTTGAACGCTTCGCCGATGTTGAAGAATTTCAACTTAGCTTTGGTCAAAACGTCCGGTTTTTTCTTCAAAGCGTCCGAATCGTCTTTGGCACGTTTTAACATGTTGTTGGTCATTATAACATTTATAAGCCGTTTATCGATAACGATAAATTACCCATCGGACAGCACAACTAATAAAACCATCATCGCGTAGAAAAATAATAAAATCCGCACTTCTCACGCGACGCGAACGCTCGGAATTTTGACAAAAAACTATACCGCGTGCTCCGGCCGATGGAGCCGCAAACGTTGTGGAGCCGCTCGACTTGGCTCAGAGATAGATGCTCAGGTACCGTGGAAAACTGATTATATACGACGCTCTTAGAGCGCGTCGCGACGCCGACCATCGCTGTTCGCACCTTGCCGATTGTACGCTTAATTCCGCCGGTGAGTTATTTATAGGGTTTTTGACTACGTTGGAAAAAGTGCGAGTGCATTCGCTGAAATTATTGCGGCATTATTAATCTTCGCTTGGATGGATTTTGGCGATTTACTCCAAGGGTACATGTATCGAAACGAAGATAAATTTATCTGTTGCTATCAAAAGTGCATGTGGAATGGGAAGGTTATATTCCCCGTGTACTTCGATTAATCAAAACACTATAAAGAGGAGTTAATTGATGAGAGCTTTCATCATGACTAGTGGAGTAAATGAAATAAACTGTTTACGGAGTAGACTCGAATACAGTTGTTGAATACTTTGTATTTTATAAAAAAATAAATAACCCGTTGACAAGTAAAACTAACATAACATATGGAATGCGTTGAAAATATTAACGACAGGATCAAATAGCTAAATGATGGATAGTACATTAAAAATAAATTGCCATATACAAAATCGATTGCAGTTTTTTTGCAAATTAAAAGTGCATGTGATGTAAAATAAATATCGAGATTTTTCGATTCGACAATTAGTTTATTTATTCTAGTACACGTTATTTTTGAACCAGAATTCTGGAATAACCGAATAACAATATGTATATCTAATTTCCATCCATTAGTGTTTGGAGTTTCCGGGTGCATGCAAAATAAAGCAGATGTGATTATAGCGACAATGCGATAAAAGAGTCGGGATATTATTGTTTTAGCTATTTCGAACAATACCTGGATAAATAAATTAATGTACATCCTTTTTTTTTGAAAATGTATAATTATTTGCAAGTCATTTGAATGGAATAAATATTTATCACGCCATATTTTAAATAGATGTCAAGTGTTTACCGAATATATTTTTGTATATTTATTAGTTATTACCCGAAAATAAAAGAAAACTCGCAATTATTTTCATAATTTCGTCGATTTTATAGACGTAGTAATCATAATAATTTCCCCGTCGTTAAATTTTACTTCAAACAAACTTTAATATGAATACAGCAATATTATTATCCCGATGTAATTTTACCAGAATGTATTAATTACAATTGACTATTTCTGTCTCTCAGACTATCAATCAGATATTTCGAAAACTAGCCGGCGTTATATTTTTTTCTGAAACTGCGACGTCCTTGTCATCGATTTGGCATGACACCACGAACTTGGATTCCCGTTTTTTCCCGAACGTCACTATTTCTCCAACAATATACGTCACCGATGTTGTCAAGTTGCCAAAATTCGACCATCAATTTAACGAAGAGACGTGCAGCAATGATTATAATTGGGTTAACATGTTGCTCGGTTGCTAATTTATTAATAGTCAGGTAGTTTGTATGTGAAACATAAAAAAATCCAATCAAACTTCGTATAGTTAGCAGGAAGCAGTTCCCTTTTGCAATATCATAATCGCGTGTACTGGAAATGATTTCCATTAAAAGTTTGTTGATTCGAATTCTACTAACGTGAGGTAGAATTTTCTTTGAAATGCGAAACTCATCTCACGTGGAGCATATTTTGCAGATTAAACTTTTATGTAGGGTTTTTTGAGTAAAAAGTAATATTAGAATACGGAAAGAAATACATATAAAGTTCGCGTTTTACTACTACGTCCTTTTCGGCGAAACTGAAAATGACAAGGAAATTTATTATTTATGTACCTTAGAAATAGGGCAATATAAATGTAAAGTGCGGATTTGACTCCTATGTCAGGAATGTTCTTTTGAGATAAAAATGTAGAAATTGTTTGGTGTGTACAAAGAATTATATGAAAATACATGAAAAGAATAATGTTTGTAATATTTCCATTTTTTGAATGAGAATGTAGAGAATGGGGTAGCGCTCAAAATTCGCACGAAGGCGTTCAAGGATAAAAACAACCTACACATTCCATATGCCAACATATCAAATAAAAAAAAGTACATTTCTTAAAAACATTTCTACATTACTTTCTACCGCAACATGTAAATTCCCGGTTATAAATGTATTTTTGTTTACGTCTAACATTATTGATTTAATGTAGAAAAATCCATAAAAAAATTATTGAAATCCATTTAACTCGTTATCCGTGGGAAGAGGTTAATAATTTTTCCCGCTTTTCCGCTATTTTAATAAGTGGCTATCCGTAAATCCCAATTGTTTGAAATAAATTACGGCCGAAATTTACGAGGCAATAAATAAGTAGACGGGCTCATATCCAATTGCAACTGCCACAACAGGACATTAGCATAATGTTATGCGAAGCTACATGCAGCAAAAGTTCATCTAATATGCAACCGTTCGGATTATTACCCTAATGAAGTTAGCTGCAATCCCACAGTGAGCAGAAAATTCCTAAATAATATTAATCCTTTGCACTTCAGATAAATGTTACGTTGTAAACAGGAAACTTACCTTTTTACTAGATTTAAATACAGCACACTTGAACACATTGGCAGCTCCATCTCTGGCTATATAACTAAATATCTTGAGATCTTGCGAGTCGTGCGACACGTAAAACACCCTGTATATCGGATGATTCAGTAGGACCGATTTCCCGTCGTCCAGCCAATTTTTTTTCTGAAACACATTTAATTCGAATTAAACAAAATTAATTAATGTCCACACAATCGTGCGAGGTTCAAGACGATCACTAATTGCATCTTAAGACCGTTTTCGGTAATTAAATTTAATTTCCCTCGCCCGCACGTTTCTTTTCGACATCACGATATCAACATTAGGAGCTTCTTAATTTATAATTTGTTAACCTTGCGACCCGAGCGCTCACAATACATCATCCTAAAGGCGGTGTTAATTCGCGTTTATCTCGGCCGCTTCCGCAATGGTAATTGTTTCATAAGAAGCCTCGACTAAACGGCGAAAGGACAGTATCCAACTCCGCCGGGAATTTCTAAAATCCGCACGACTCGATAGCTGAGGCGCTCTTTTGAAATTTCGTCGGACGTGCTGCAGGAGGAAATGAGGGATAAGAGCAAAACCGTGTTTCGAGGAGCGCAAAACTGTATTGACCGTGTCTAAACTCCCGCCGTCGGAGGTTTGAGCTTCCAGATAATAGGAAATTTGTTAAAGGAATGAATAACTACACGGGTGGGTGGGTGATTCGGTTAATTTTAGCATTACTCGCGTAATTTACAGATGGAAATAACCTAAGAAATTCGCTATATTTCATAGAATTCTCACGGATGATTAGATGCATTAACAACTTAATTGGTACTAAAAGAGTTGTTAGATGTAAATTACTTGTGGAAGCGCTTACCTTTCGTTTTTTCCTCAGCATTACTTTCAATCCGTCAACGGAAACTTCTATCGTCACCTTCTTCTTTTTGATCCCTTTGGCTTTGAATTCGTACTGGAAAAAAGGATTAATCATAAATAACTTCAACCCTTCACGGGCCCTTTCAACTCCTTTTTTCTACAAAATTGGGCTGTTGTTTAAGGAATGTGTTGACTCACGCACTTACAGATTGTTTTCCTTTCAAATTTAATGAATATTAAAATTCAGTGTTGCGAAATTTCTGTATTTGTCTTCATTAAGAGACTGAAATTTCATTAATGTGTCATAAATGGAATGCTTACCCGTATTCTTCGCATAGCTGCGACGATTTCGACCTTGCTGGTTGGTCTCGGTACGTCCAACATGCCGATGTACTGCAATTAAAAATAATTCATCTTACTTTATTTCGACTCGAATGTGAAACGGAATCATCCGGAAAAGAAAAACGAAGAATTTTAATGATTTGCTACCGCTGGTAATAGTGCGAAATTTCCTTTGAATAAAACAGCTTTTATTCATATAATGGTTGAATAAAATCTCTAAAAAAGGGTTTATGGTTGAATAAAAGTTATTAGAGGTGTAAAAATTTCAGTCTTAATTTAATAATAGTCGTGTCATAAATGGTAGAGGTTTTGAGAAATCTGAGGATGATGTTGCACGAAAAATATTTTTTGTGCAATACAAGTATGCTCGTGTTAACGACAAGCGGCTGCCAAACAATATAACCAATTACTGCGTTGTCAACCTCTCAAAAATTCAATCAACTAGGCATAGTCGACCGGCATAAAAAATCCTCATTTAATCGCTCATTTCTAACGAGTAAATTGGATTTCTCTCCTTTAGAGATCGCACAGAATTCGCGGAAAATAAAAATCACTTCTTCGCGCAATCAAGCCGACATAAATACCCTCATTAATCTTAAATTCAAAATAATTCCTCATACAACGTCGATTTACATTCAAGGCGAGTTATTTCGCATAATTTGGCCGACGCCTGGCGTCTTTTTTATATTCTAAAGACGATAGCGTAAGATGTAAATTTAAAACAATCATCTGCTTATATTTTCGTTGAAATGACATCATAACGCACGCGTATCGAAATTTTGTCACAGTATCTCGCGTATTTTCGAGAATTTGCCATTCCGTTCCGTCGACGCGATTTTTTTTATTTTTATTTTCCACACAGGTCATGGTTTGATGGAAAAATCCTGTCGCATTAGATCTAGTTTAGTCTCGTTTTCCAATTTACCTCGCGAGAAGAGCGCTTTTCGAAATTTTTGTGTATCTAGCCAGAGAATGTTGAAAACTTTCGATCGAATTTGCCATGGAATTTGGGAAGGGAAGTTTCCAATAGGCCAGTTTGGCTCGCATTGTATCAGGAGAATTTCGAATATTTAGAGGAAAAGGGTTGATCTATAATGCACGCAAGAAATTGTTGATAATCTTCATTATATTACGCTATATAAAACTTGTACTAAAGTGTTGAAAGTTATGTACGAGTATTAACAGAATAATTTATCGTTCTCTTCATAAAAGATGTTATCTTTTGTACGTTTTTCTCAATTTGTGAACTCGTTCTGCAAATACTTGGAGCATTGTTAGCACTTGCATAAAGGGCAATAAATCTT